ATGCACACTCAGAGTACAGTGATTCTTGATGTAACCGCCCCCCCCACAAAAAAGTCCTTCCTACGCTGCACCTTCTACCCACAGCTGCATCACTTTCCGCACGTCAGCAGCTGCAAAGTCTGAAACCCGGGTGCTGTTGCTCCCTCCCAGGAACGCAAACACTGCTGCTGCAGGGACCACACCCCCACGCATCATCTTCTGCTGAGCCGAGCCAGTGGCCAATGGCCCTGACACTTCGCGCTCGCCTGCGGCCAGGAACGCTGCAAGGCGAACAGGAGGAACTTGGTGCATTGAAGGCACAAGGGGTTTCTGAGGGCGGGACATTCCGTGCTTGGGTGCGGTTGGGAATGCTGCAAGCTGAGGTGGAGGAGCATTGCGCATTGAAGGCACACGTGAATTTCGAGAGCCGAACGTTCCCATGCCAGGAGGATCCTGCTGCTGCTGCCAATGCTGCTGTTGCTGCTGCTGCTGCTGCTGCTGGCATTGCTGCTGCACCAGTCCTGCCTCCTCCACTCCCTCAGTCGCTTCAGCATGCTGAGGAGGGGAGTGCCACTGGCTGCGATTCATGTCACTCCCCGTGCAGCTAGTGTGCTGGGACAGGTAACCCGGGCTGCTTGTGTTGAAATCTGTGCTGCATGAATGGTAGCTCGTGCCACAAGCAGCCGAAAATCCGCTGCTCCAGGCTTGGTCACAGGCTTGAGCATCAGCCTGGGCAGTGGCGCGGGGGGCAGGCAGCAGCGCATCGTTTGCAGAGGCTTGGCAATTCTGCCCATTCACAAGTGCATCAAATGTGGTGCCTGTTAGTGGCTGTGAGGCACGCCCACTTGGTGACTTGCGCGTCGAATCAAATGGCATCCTCGGCAGTGGCGCATTCATGGCATAGGACGGCCGGTTCTGCCCTCTCACGAGCGTGTGAAGAGCGGTGGCTGTTAAAGGTGGCACTGGCACATCTTGGTGGGGCTGGGAGCCAGGAGCATCAGATACAGCAGCACCCAGTGCAGCAGCGTGCGGCAGCACACACCCCAGCAGTGCTCCCGGTGTTGCCCCTGTCGGGCCGTGCACTGACCCTTCCTCCCCTTGACAACGAAAATCGGGGAAGGAGTTCTTCCCATTGCGCCCCACGCCGGGTGCGGTCTGCTCCTCCTCAATACCTCTCCTGCCAAGATATTCCCGTAGGAGCCCCGCTTGGCCTGCGTGGTTGGTAGCACTGCAGCGCAGTGACGACAGCTCTTGGAGGCCTTGCTTCGTAGGCGATGTTGCTCCCAGCAGAGAGTCAATCTCGTCCGTCGGATATTCCGAGTCCTGATCGGTGAATCGACGGCTGTGATCTTCTTCCAGCGTCTGACATCCGAGAGCCACAAGCAGCCGTTCCAGAGACACTGTAGACCTCGCTGGGTCAACAGCAGCAGCACTGAGGTCAGTGGAGCAGGCACTAACGGGGATAACCTCATCCAGCCACAGAGGGGATGACCGGAGGAGGGTCGGCAGGGGAGAGAGTGGGGGGAGGTCCCACACACGCAGGGAAGTGGACTCAATCAGCCGCTCCTGCTGACAGGGAGAGTGCAAGAGGGCTTCTGCAGCCCAATCTTCAAATTCAACAGCAGCATCAGCAGCAGCAGCGTCGGCGGCGGAAGCAGCATGAGCAGGACTGACTTCCACGCTCCCATTCTGCAACGCCCGCGCCACGATGCTCAGAGCCTCACCAGAATCAACAGCTGGGGCATTCACAGCTCCACCAAAATCGCTCTCACTCGCCAAGGCGTTCAGACCGCCACTGAATTCAGCAGGTCGATCGGCGTTAAACGGAGTATCGCCATCCCCAGGGTGTGAATCCGGTGTTAAACGGTGTGAATCCGCGAGGTTGAAATGCTCGTCAGTAGCATGGCCGGTGGGAAGGTCTGCAGGGCTGAAAGCAACCCTCTTGTTAGGGTGATTGGGGTGATCGCTAGAGCGGTAGGCAGGACGCTTGTTGAAGCACTTGGTGGGGTGGTTACGGGGGAAGATGTGGCGCGTGGGGGGACGGCGGATGGGGAGCAAAGGTTGGCGGGGAGGCAAGGGGTGGTTGTGGAGCGTGCAGCGGTAGGTGACTTGGAAGGCGTCGGGGGAGGGAGGCTCGTTGCGGTTGCTGCAGGTGATGTCAACGGTCTTCTTGGCCGGGCATCGTGGGTTGGATTTGACGCGAGCGCACCTGTAGTAGCATCTGTGATGGGGGAGGGAGAGTGAGGGAGGAAGGAGACGGGGAGCGGAGCGGAACACGGGTGAGACGTGAAGCACGAGCGCAGCCCAGCATGTGTGCGGGAAGAGGTTTCCGCCCTCACATGAACGTACATCTGATTCACTGGCAATGATGGACAGACGAAGCTGACCCACGGAGTCAACAGGAGTTCAAGCAAGTCAACAGAGGTCAACGCGAGTCAATGGAAGTCAACAAGGCTGACCTGGTGGCGGTGGAGCCCTTGACTTGCTTCTGGCCGTATTTGAGCCAGCTGTGCCCATCCGAACCCACCACCTGTGCCACCATCGCCTCCAACCCACGCCGCCGCACCAACTCCTGCTCGCACGCCTCTCGGCTGGCCGACTGATTCTCGGAGAGAGATCCATTCTCAGAAAGTTGGCGGCTAGGCGCCGAATGCTCAGAGAACTGACGGCTATACGTCTCCTGTTGAGGGCTCGCTAAGAGCTGACTCATGATGTTTAACTCGGAGGGGATTGCCATAACGGCGGCCGCTGTTTGTTGTCCCAGATATTGCCTGTTAGGTTGTAGTAGGTCAGGCAGTGGTAGTAGTGCTCCTAGCAGCACTAGTTTGGATTAGATAAAATTCCAGACTGGGAAATAAGATGCAAAGATTGTCTGATGACCACGTGAACGCCCAGAAATATTAGGACCCCTGTTACTCAGCATCACTAGTAGCAATCGTACTGCTACACTCTGGTAGGAGTGTAGATGCACTGCACTGTAGGAGTGATTGAGAGAGGGAACGTTCACTTCTCTGTCCGGCAGGAGAAGGAGCATCAGAGCAGGCCGATGGCCGGACAGGCGCCGCCGCCTGGCATTGCAAGAGCGCTTGCGTGCGGTCATTGTTGATAAGGAAGCCCTTTCCTGATTGGGGAGGCCCAGCATGGGTTTGTTTGCAACGCAATTCGCATTGGCTGCCTGCACCGCGAAGAAGAATCCCGCTGTTCATCCGTCAGCAGTGCTCGTTCCCCGTCGCGTGCGCGTGCTGGATAATCCCGAGAAGCGGCAAGCGGAGTGGCCATGGACGAGTGGCGTGGGCCAGCCGGACATGTAAGTCACGACTTGCAAGAGTTGTCGGATGCCATTCGACGACAGCGTGTTTCACTAGGTATGTTGCGTAGTCTTGTCGTCGTGACGTGACTCCCTCAGGAAAGATGAGCAGCCCCCCCCTCCTCAAAGGATAGTGGGGGAGAGGAGGAAGGGGGAATGGAGACGGAAGGGAGGACGGGGAATCAACTTGAGGAACTCGACTCACCCATAGAAGAATACAAACCTCTTTGGTAGCTTTAAAAAAAAAAGTTTAGATACACTTCTGTACTTCGCATAGACTGTGGGTCACAAGTCTGTCTCTGTCATTGATTGTAGCAAACAAGAGGACGCACAGTAGAGCTTTCCAATAAGTGCTTACTGTTCGAGCGCGCGGCGCGCTGCTAATACAGTAAACACGGCTACTATACACCAATGTCCGTGCGTTATCTGTGGTACGTACCTCCGTCGTCCTCCTACTGGTGACTGGGATGATGATAAGCAGTCTGATAGGCAGCTTTGATCAAGCTGCGAATAACACAAACGACGCTGATGTCGCATACTACTCACACACTTGCGAAGTCGTGGCAAGAATGAATAGGACGGCGGAGAAACGATTGTCGTCCGCACAATCTTGCGCAACTATGATACACGTAGTGAGCAGCCAACACCTGTGGGTACTAGCAAAAGCTGGAGTTACGACAACGAAATCTGCCAGAGTCAAGGTATGCGCTGTACAGAAGGTTTTGATTTGGTTTGGGATCGAAGGTTTTGATTTGGGTTGGGATCGAAGGTTTTGATTTGGGCTGGGATCGAAGTTTCATTCGTGTGATTGGCCAAAAACATGTCTGCCTCATAGCCTAATTGGGCAACCGAAGTGAACTAACCGAACCACCGACCGACGTGATTCCACAAGGAGTATGGCTGCAACATATCTCCATACTCGTTATGGTACATGCACCTCGAAATGGAAAAGAACAAGAAACAGGTTGCAGAACCAAGTTGATATGGAACGGCCACACTTCTTCTGCTATGAGTAGGAATTCTTATGGAGTCCACAAACACCTCTCCAACATTGGAATGACCCAATGAGAATGTAATGGATTGACAGGCTATGCCAAGATGGTATTCTATATACTAATATGGCATTTCCTAACACAAACACAACCGACAATCCGTTTTAAAGGTTGTGCCTTCCTAGTTTCTAGAATCAATTGAGCATACGTTAATTTTTGGCATGCATAACTTCGTTCATGCCACCTGCATTAAGAGCAGCATGATAGTGATTCATGTGATGTGCTAACTTTTTTTTGTTACCTGAAGCTGTTAAGCATAGCTACCGCTTTTCTTGAGTCAAGTGTAGTACCACCTAACACTTGAAACGCAAATCGAGTTTCCCCTTCGCCTCAGGTTGTCCTCGAGTTCTTCACCTCAGCCCTTCTTGCCTGGCGTCGCTTTCGGGAATGTCTAGGTCTTCCCAGCGTCGATGTCCCTGAATCATGGCCGAGCGATTTGGCTTGGTCATGGAGTAGAGTCAGGTCATCCTTCGAGATGCCGGGATGCAACGCGACGAGCCCCGAGCAGCGTATTGTCTTGAATGACGATTGAGCAACGAAAAGGCCAAGTCCGCGTGCCTCAGGCGAAAAGGTGAAAGAGAACCAGGTGATTCTCAATCAGGCGAGTTTAAGACGTCGAGCAGACTGCTCGTCGCTCCTGTAGACTACATCCCAGGAGACTAATGGAAGACAAGTGTCCTTTTTGCGGCAGCCGGGAAGGTGCGCGGAACCTCCCCGCTCCGCACGGCCCGGCGCAGAGTCTGTCGCACCAGCTGTCGCAGAACCCGTCGCAGGGCCAAGCTAGCCATAGTACTCCCCATCACCCGCATCACGCGCCGCATCATGCGGCGCATCACGCGGCGCAGCAGCCGCCGGCACAGGCGCCGTATGAGACGGTCCTAGTGGCGTGCGCTAGCTGCGCTCGAATTGTCGCGGAGCGGCGGATTATTCCTCTGCTGTTCGTTCCGCGCACCGTCGAAGAAGCTTCCTTCTGCCTACCCGCCAGGGACGTGCTGTTGCACGCCAAGCTTCGTCCGGACGAGGTGAGAGCAGCAGCGGATAAAATAGAAGAGCTCAAAGCCTTAAAGGATGCAAAAATTAAAGCCAGAGATAATGAGGTGAAGGCAGAAGTAGCAGCAGCAGCAGATGACAGTCGAGGAACTGCTATTTCAGGGAAGCCAGAAGTGAAGGTGGAGACTGAGGAGGGTTTGGTGGAGAAGGGGAGGAGGGAGGTGGGGAAGAAAGAAGAAAGACTGGGAGGGGATGGGAAGGAGAAGGTGGCAGGAGAGCTGGTGGGGAAGGAAGAGGAGAGTAAGTCCCTGGTAGGGTTTGATCTGAACTTTGATCTGAACATGGATGCGATGGACGGTGGAGATGAAGCGGCGGGAGCGAGGATGGACGGTGGAGGAGATGAAGCAATGGATGAAGGTCGAGTTTCGGAAGGACAAGAGGGGAAAGAGAAAGAAGAGGAGGAAGAACTTGAAGAGGAAGAAGAGGAGGAAGAAGAGGAAGAGGAATACGAAGAGGAGGAGGACGAAGAAGAAGAGGAGGAAGAAGCAGAGGACGGGGAGGAGGAGGACATGGAGGAAGGAGAAGCATTAGAGGAGCAAACGAGCCCCAACTCCCTCACGGACGACGACCCATCGCCCCGCTTCCTGGACCCCTCGGACCAGTTCCTGGACGTCTTCTCATCGCTCTCCCTCGAGTCCGCCCCACCACTCTTCTGTGCCGCCTCGCTGCCCTTCTCGGGCCAGCTAGCAGAGATGGAGCGGCTGATTGGCCCCGTGCTGTACACCGGGTGCTCTGGGGGCGCAGGGGGGAGTGCCGTGGGGACGACTGATTTCCTGCGCGCCTACTTCCAGGTGAGACCCTCCAAGTAAGGTTATTCTTCAGAATTCAGGCATCAGCAGCATCATCTTCCTCCCAGTAATTTCCATTCCCCGTCTCGTCCCCACCCTTCTTCCCCCCACCCCCTTGTGACCTTAGAGGTGAGCGGCTCGTTGGACAAGAAGAGAATCACGGACAGAATCGACTCACTACTCCCTTTCCCACTCCTCTCCCCACCTCCCCCCTCAGATCCTGGAGGTGAGTGGCCTGCTGGACATAGACCAGAGCATCACGGACCACGCGGTTACCCTGTTCCGAGACTACGTGGTGTCGGCCGGCGGGGCGCGGAACCGCAACATCGAAGCCCTAGCCACTGCAGCCGTGGTGCAGGCCATGCGCGAGGCTCAGGAGGCCCGCACCCTCCAGGAAGTCTCCCTGGTGGCGGGGATTGCGGTGAAGGAGTTGGGGAGGAGTTTGAAGGGGTTGATGGAGGTGCTGCGGCTGCAGCAGCCTGTCAACTCCAACTCTGTGTCCTTCCACATGCCCCGCTTTGGATCCATCCTGCAGCTCCGCAAGTCCACCCAGGTGGGTTGGGCTCTCTGTCACTCACTCACTCACTCACTCGCTCGCTCAGTTAATTACTCACTCACTCACTCACTCAGTCACACTCGCTCTCACTTATGCACTCGGTGGTCAACTATTAAGCCAGTGGGCCGATCTGCCTGTTAGTGAGCTTCTTGTTTTGCACGAAGCAATGAAGGAGTTAGAGAGGAGTTTGAAGGAGTTGATGGATCATGGAGCCTCCGAACTCCAACTCTGTCTCCTTCCACATGCTTCGATCTCCCTCCTGTCTCCTCTTTCTTCCCTAATTCTCTCCCGCCTCCCCCTCCCACCCCCCCTCCCACCAGGACCTAGCAACGCACGTGGGAGAGGTGGTGATATCCAAGTCATTCTGCACGCGCCGCAACCCCATCAGCATTAGCGCTGCCGCCATCTACCTCGCGTGCCAGCTGGAGGACAAGAGGCGCACACAGACCGAGATCTGCAAGGCTACCGGCCTCACAGAGGTGAGTACAGTGCAGTGCAGTGCGGTAATATGTGGTAGAAATTGGGGTGCAGTGCGGTTGAAAGAGGCTCAGATATGGGTTTGGTATCAGCACTGCGGCCATCTACCTCGCCTGCCAGCTGGAGGACAAGAGGCGCACACAGACCGAAATCTGCAAGGCCACCGGCTTCACAGAGGTACGTGCAGCGCGGTGCAGTACGGTGGAATCAGAGTCCTGCATGGTGTGTATGGGTGGAGTGCGGTTCAGAGAGGTGGCCTGCCTGTTGGTGCATGTGTGTGATTATACATGGGTCTATGTGTGCCCATATGTATGGGCCTGTGTACACATGTATGCGCGTGTGTCTGTGTGTGCAGGTGACGCTAAGGAAGGTGTACAAGGAGCTGCTGGAGAACATACACGACCTGCTTCCCCCAAGATGTGTGTCTGTGTGCTTACGTTGTGTCTGCTCTGCTCGTGTGTGTTTGCTATCATGTGACCCCAGGTGACGCTAAGGAAGGTGTACAAGGAGTTGCTGGAGAACATTGACGACCTGCTCCCTGGGGGCTACGAGCAGTCAGTGTGTGTGTTTGTGTCTGAGACCGTGTGTGCTTATCCCTTTGTCCCCACCAGGTGACGCTAAGGAAGGTGTACAAGGAGCTGCTGGAGAACATTGACGATCTGCTGCCTCCGGGATACGAGCCCACCATCCCTGCGTGCAGGGTCGCTAGCATGCCCCTCTCTGGCCATGGCGCAGGGGGAGGGGGAGGGGCAGGAGGTGGGGGGAAGGGGGGAGGCGCGGGAGGGGGAGGGGGAGGGGGAGGAGGAGGTGGAGGCAAGGGAGCGGGAGGAGGGGAAGGAGGAGGGGGTAGTGTTGGCGGGAGGGATGGGAAAGGGGGAGGAGGAGCAGCAGTGGCAAACACAGCAGCAACAGCAGGGACGGTGGCGGCGGCGGCAGCTAGGGCCGCATTGGTTGCAGCGGGATCAGGTGGGTCTGATGCAGCAGCAGCAGCAGCAGCAGCAGCAGGAGGAGGAGGAGGAGGAGGAGCAGGAGGAGTAGCAGGAGGAGGAGCAGGAGGAGGAGCAGGAGGAGGAGGAGAAGGGGGAGGGGCCGCAGGGAGGGCAGGAGCACAGACACCACTGGGGCACAGGGTCCCTTTCCCCTCCCCCTTTGCCCATCCCGCTGCTCCTGCTGCAACTGCCACCGCTACACCTTTTCCTGGTGCTGCTGCTGCTGCTGCTGCTGCTACCGGTTCTCGTTCAGCCACCCCTGCGGCGTCTGTGGGGACTGCTTCTGGTCTCGGCAGGACGGACAGCCAGAGCTCCTTCCCCTCGTGCGCCAAATCGCCCGACAAAGGCTCTGCGTTCCCCTCTTTTGGCGCTCCACAGTTGATTCCCGAGGGCAGGGCGGAGGCCTGGCAGCAGCAGCAGCTGGGTATGCGACAGCAGCGGTCGCAGCAGCACTCACAACAGTATCAGCAGATGCAGCACTCGTTTCAGCAACAGCAGCAGCAACAGCAGCAGCACCAGCAGCACCAGCAGCAACAACAATTTCAGCCACAGCCACAGCAACAGCAACAGCAACAGCAACAGCAACTGCAACAGCAGCAGCATCAGTTTCAGCCACAGCAGCAACATCGTTTTCAGCAGCAACAGCAGCAACAACAATTTCAGCAGCAGCAGCAGCAGCAGCAGCAGCAGCAGCAGGGCAAACAGAGCACACCACTCTCTCTCCCCACCTTCCCTTCTCCTCCCATACGCCCCCCACTCTCCTCCACCTCCCCTCGTCCTCCCCTCTCCCTCCCCTTCCCCCCTTCCTCAACTTCCCCTCGTCCGCCCCTCTTTCTCCCATTCCCATCCTCCCTCGCGTCCTCCCCACACCCTCCTCCCGCTCTCCCTCCCTCATCCTTCCTCTCCTCTCCCTCTTCCCGCTCCGCTCCCCCCCTTCCCCCAGGCTCCTCCCCCTTCAAGCGCCCTCCCCTGGTTCTACCCGTATCAACTCCCCCTCTCTCTTCCTCCACCCCCAACCTATCTGCACCGTTCTCCACCGCATCCTCTTCCTCGTCGCCATCACCCATGGCCCTGCACATGCCTTCCCTAGCCTCCATGGCAGCTTCGGCACCAACCACAGCTGCTGGTTTGGGGGCAGGGTTGGTGGGGATGGGAGTGGGAGGTGCTACTGGTAATGTTGCGGGTGGTGCTGGTGCCGGTTCTGCTGCTGCTGCTAATGCTGCAGGCAACAGTTCAGCTGCACCTGAGAACTTCTCCACTCAGAAGCCCCATGCAACGCCTCTCCTCTCTTTCAGTCTCCCCCCCAACTTTCACCACCAGTTCTCTGCCACCTGCCCTCCATCCAATCCCCCCTCTGTGGGCCCCGGTCTAAGATTCCCTACCCCAGCTCTCGCTGTGCCCCTGCCTCCCTCCTCCGCTCCCAATCCTTCTCTCCTCCACGCCTCTCCTCCTGCTACTGCCCCGTCTGTTGTTGGAGCTGCAACCCTAGGTGGTGGTGGTGGTGCTGCTGCTACAGCCGCTGGTGCTGCTGGCGCTACAGCCGCTGCCGCTGGTTCAGGAGGGAAGGGAGGGTTCTCGCTGCTACAGCTGCCGAGAGAACTAGCAGAGCCCTTCCCTCGCTCCTCCTCTGACTCTAGCCTCCGACCTGCCGCCCCCGCTGCTGCTGCTGCCGCTGCTGCTGCTGTTGGTCGCATAGGAGGGTTCGGAGGCATGGGAGTGATGGGAGGAGGAGCAGGAGGAATGGGAGGAGGAGCAGGAGGCGGCACAGGAACAGCAGCAAGTGGGCACGACAGTGGGAGTAGTGGTGGCGGGTTTGGTGGTGGGTTCGGTGGTGGGGGGAGTAGTGGAGCGGTTGTTGGTGGAGGCTCAAACCAGGAGGTAGGGACGCAGGCAGCAAGAGGACGAGCAGGGACCGGGGGCAGAAGGGGAGGAAAGGGTGGCAGAGTGGGTGAGAGGGTGAGCGGGAGGGGAGGGGCAGGAGCAGTGGCAGCGTCAGCAGCAGCACTGTCAACAGCAGCTGCAGTGGCAGCACAATCTAGCAGCCATAATCAGCATGGATCGTTAGTAGCACCACCGTTCTTAGGAGGTGGGAGCAAGGGTGGCCCTGCTGGGGCTGAGGAGATGAGTAGCCCATTCCGCTTTGGGGCAACGTTCCAAATTCCCCAAACAGGCCAGCAGTCAGTCTCAAGTCAGAATCATCATCATCATCATCATCAGCAGCAGCAGCAGCAGCAGCAGCAGCAGCAGAGCCAGAAGGGCACCCACATGTCTCCTATGTTTCCTGTTAGCGGTGGTGGTACTGCTAATGGTGCTGGTTTTGCTGGTAGCGTTATTGGTGCTGTGTTTGCTGGTAATGCTGCTTTGGCAGCTACTGGTGGTACTCGTTCTGCTGCACAAGGCACAACTGCTGCTGCTGCTACAGCTGCTGTTGCAGCTGATGGTGGTGCAGCTCCTAATGCGGCCACCCCGTCGTCTCTTCCTGCCTGGATGACCCACGTGCATCGCCAGCAGCAGCAGCAGCCACTGCCCCAGCATCAGCAGCAGACGCAGCCGCGGCAACTGCACCAGCAGCAGCCGCAGCAACCGCTGCAGCGTCAACAACAGCAGCTCCAGCCAAACCAGCAGTTGCAGCACCAACAGCAGCAGCAGCAGCAGCAGCGGCAGCAGCTCCAGCAACAGCAACGTCTCCAGCAGCAACAGCAGCACCCACAACACCCGCACCAGCAGCAACAGCCGCACCAGCAGCATCACCAGCAGCAGCAGCATCACCCCCACGCCCAGCTGACACAGCACCCGCCCACCCATCCTTCTCCATTCTTTGCCCCGTTTCCATTCGCTCCCCCTAATCAAGGAGGGCCTACACCACAGTTACCCCCAGGGTTACGACCCGAGCACATGGCAAATGCTGGTACACCTCAAGGGGTCCCGCCGTTTATTCGAGATGCCAAGCCTGGCTTGTTCATGCAGTCTATACAGCAGTCGCCGAACCCCATGCAGAACAGAAGTAACAAGCATTGACAGCCAACATTGTCTTGTTCCATGCGCTTGCTGTGGATTTCCTTCTAGCTTTGGAGTATATATGCTGCTGTATATGTTCTGCATTGTTGAGTGCACTGCCAGATCAAGCTGACCTGGTTTCTATGCAAAGAAACTCTGTAAGCCCCAAACAACAGTTTTTTTTCTTTCTTCCGCTCTTCCTTCCTTTTCTGCATTTGATAAAATACTCGAACTGTAGCAACCATTGCAGTTCTTGTCCACAGCATTCATCAATTCAGGGTGCGTTCCTGGTTCGTGGCAGGGCCACTGTAGATGGCAGCCTGCCACGAACACATAAAACGCCAGGTTGGTGTCAGGAATTTTGGCGCGCAAATACAGGTGCGTGATTGGGCAATGTCCCAAAAATGTCATGTCAATTCCACCAAAATCGTGTCGCGCGCGACTCGGGCAAAATGTTGGTGGCATGCGGTTTTCCCGCATGCCACCAACAGTGCCTGCTACAGTGGCCCTGCCACGAACCAGGAACGCACCCTCAGTAGGATCAATACAGCATCCCGCAGGTACGGTAGTTGTGTGAGCTTTTTAGGACGCGTCACCTGCCTCGATCGATCCTGCGCAGGTTCGATTTTTGATTCGGTTCAAAAAGTTTTCAGACAAATTTAAATGCAACACGCGGGATTTTAGTGCGGTGGACGATCGATCTTCCTCGATTTTGCACGATTGATCGAGGGAGGTGACGCGTCCTTACTCTGCTCATGTCTCAGCTGTGAAGTAGACTGTCCACCATGGCCGCAATTGCCGGGTGCGCGGTCCCTTGCGTCACCGGCCTGAACCTAACCCCCACCTCCCAGGCCTTTCCCAAATCCTCCGTGCAGCAGCTGCGAAATGTCACGGCGAACGCGTTACCAGCCGTTGCGAAGCTGACAGTCAACGAGGCACGAGCTCGCGTGCTCTTCTCGAGGTTAGGATTGCGAGTACATGGCGATACCTCGCTCCTTACACAGCTGTTTAATTCTTGCTCCATGCGCCTTCCATCGGCTCGAAACTGCAAGTTCTCCCAGGCAAACCAAATAGCTCGCGCAACCTGCGCCTTTCAGGCGTCTTTCCCGGTCCCTGCGTGTATCCCCGTCTCTGTCAGGAGTGCCGACAGCATCGCCACGTGGCAGCAGACGAGCTACCAGAGCGATGTCAGGCACCTCGCCTGGCAACAACCAATCGGAAGATCGCGACGAATCTTCTGCTTCCGACCTTAGCCGCGTCTGTGTGGTAGGAAATTAGGAGTTACCTTCAGAGCACTTTGGATAGTTGTCACCATGGATGGTCATGGATGATTTTATCCATCGTCTCGGATCATCATATGAATCGCATCATGTATTCTCATGGATCATAGTGGGTAATCATGGATCATCATAAGCTTTCATCATAGCACGGCTACCATGGACTAGCACTGACCATCATATGGATCAATGTGGACCATCATTCACAAGTACAGACAGCATTGATCGTCATTAATTGTTTTAGTCTATTATCGTAGCACCATACATGGCATTTTCACACAACCTTTCCATGATGGTGCGTGCATGGCAGGTGGGCTGTGGAGGGCTGTGCATCGACTATCTCGCCACCGTCTCCGCATTCCCCCACCCAGACGACAAGATCCGAAGCACCTCTTTCGAGGTACGCTGAGGCTCCTCTTCTTCCCATCCTTGTTTTCTCGCACCACCCTCGTGGCCGTTGCTGCTCTCATGCTACTTGGTTTCTCAAGGTGGTGTGGGCACCGTTGCTCTGCTCGTGTGTGTGCATTGCAGGTGCAAGGCGGAGGCAATGTGGGCAACACACTCACGGCCATCTCTCGCCTTGGGCTCTCCACACGCATTTTCACCAAGGCACGTTGGATTAATCATCCCATCAGCGCACAAGTTTCACCGCCAGCCTTCCTGTCTTCCCTGGTCCAGCCACTTCCCCTCCCCCTACCACCGCTCCCTGTCCTGGGGGTTTCTTTTTCCTGTTTACCTCAACTCTTCGTCCTCCCCCCCTCCCATCCCCACACACACCGCATCCAAACCCGTCTGGCCTGTGTGTGAGCGACAGCTGGCGGACGACCTGGTGGGCAAGGCAATGATTGCAGAATTGCAGGCGGATGGCGTGGACACGTCACACATCATTGTGAGTCCATGCCACGTCAGTAGGTGTGAACTCCACATCGTTGTCAGTGCCACGTCAGTGGGAGCAAGTTCCAGGTCATTGTTACTCCATTCCATGCCACACCAGTGGAAGGGAGTTTTACACATCATTGCAAGAGACTGCAGTTCACATCACACTACCTAAAAGCCCATGCATTATTATGTACTGGTATCTTCATGTGTATTCCTGTCTTGCTGGCGTGTGTTGGGCAGGTTGGCAAGGGGGGCATGTCTCCATCCACATACATCATTGTGGACCAACAGACGTCAGTGCCTGCCTGCACTCTTCCTTGCGTCCATCATCTCTCCCTTTCTACACCTTGCTTTCACCCTCTCTACCTTCATCTCAATCTCTCGCTGCTTGTCTCCTGATTCGTTTATCTCATATTATATCGTTTCATGGCTTTCCATGCCCTGCGCACCTTGTTCTCCTCCCTTCCCCCCTTCAGCAACACGCGCACGTGCATCCACACGCCCGGCTCCCCGCCTCTGCTCCCCTCGGAGCTGTCAGCTGCTGCCTTAACGTCTCTGCTCTCAGGGGCCTCTCTCGCCTACTTTGATGGCCGCCTCGCCGACACCACCATCCGCATATGCCAGCAGGTGCATTCACAGTGGATCTATGCACTTGCTGTGGAATTCTGCATTCACCTTGGAATTGCACAATCACATCACATCAGTGCAACCTTCATCTGCAGCTCCTTCTTTATTGCTCACACTTCACCATGACCCCCCACCCACCTGTGGCCCTGAGTCTGCGAGTGTTGGTGCTTACTGAAAGGCTCCAAAGAGGGTTCAGACTTGTAGGCACTTCAGATATACACTTCTCCTCTTCCCCCCTCCCCCCTTCTCCCTGTCACCAGGCGGTGGCCCTGGGTCTGCCGGTGCTGGTGACGCTAAGAAGCCCCGAGAGGGTACAATCCTCAGAGATCCACCCCCCCGCCTCCACTCCCCCTCGTACCTCCTGGTTGTCGTTCTCGTTCTCTCTCCCCGTCGCCAGGCGGTGGCCCTGGGTCTGCCGGTGCTGGTGGACGCTGAGAAGCCCCGAGAGGGGTCGATACTTCATGCGCTGCAGACATACACTCTCCCCTAATCCCCCTTCCCCGCCCCTTCATCACCAGGCGGTGGCCCTCGGTCTGCCGGTGCTGGTGGACGCTGAGAAGCCCCGAGAGGGGCTGGACGACCTGCTGGCCCATGCCACATATGTCGTCGTTTCCGAGAAGTTTCCCCAGGTCTGTATGGGTGGTGAGCAGTGAGTCACTGTTCAACGCATCTTAGCTCTCTTCCCTTCACAGCATTTTGCTGCTGCAGCAGTGCAGCGAGCCCCAGGGATGCATGCAGCGAGCCCCAGGGATGCATGCAGCGAGCCCCAGGGATGCATGCAGCGAGCCCCAGGGATGCATGCAGCGAGCCCCAGGGATGCATGCAGCGAGCCCCAGGGATGCATGCAGCGAGCCCCAGGGATGCATGCAGCGAGCCCCAGGGATGCATGCAGCGAGCCCCAGGGATGCATGCAGCGAGCCCCAGGGATGCATGCAGCGAGCCCCAGGGATGCATGCAGCGAGCCCCAGGGATGCATGCAGCGAGCCCCAGGGATGCATGCAGCGAGCCCCAGGGATGCATGCAGCGAGCCCCAGGGATGCATGCAGCGAGCCCCAGGGATGCATGCAGCGAGCCCCAGGGATGCATGCAGCGAGCCCCAGGGATGCATGCAGCGAGCCCCAGGGATGCATGCAGCGAGCCCCAGGGATGCATGCAGCGAGCCCCAGGGATGCATGCAGCGAGCCCCAGGGATGCATGCAGCGAGCCCCAGGGATGCATGCAGCGAGCCCCAGGGATGCATGCAGCGAGCCCCAGGGATGCATGCAGCGAGCCCCAGGGATGCATGCAGCGAGCCCCAGGGATGCATGCAGCGAGCCCCAGGGATGCATGCAGCGAGCCCCAGGGATGCATGCAGCGAGCCCCAGGGATGCATGCAGCGAGCCCCAGGGATGCATGCAGCGAGCCCCAGGGATGCATGCAGCGAGCCCCAGGGATGCATGCAGCGAGCCCCAGGGATGCATGCAGCGAGCCCCAGGGATGCATGCAGCGAGCCCCAGGGATGCATGCAGCGAGCCCCAGGGATGCATGCAACGAGCCCCAGGGATGCATGCAGCGAGCCCCAGGGATGCATGCATGCAGCGAGCCCCAGGGATGCATGCAGCGAGCCCCAGGGATGCATGCAGCGAGCCCCAGGGATGCATGCAGCGAGCCCCAGGGATGCATGCAGCGAGCCCCAGGGATGCATGCAGCGAGCCCCAGGGATGCATGCAGCGAGCCCCAGGGATGCATGCAGCGAGCCCCAGGGATGCATGCAGCGAGCCCCAGGGATGCATGCAGCGAGCCCCAGGGATGCATGCAGCGAGCCCCAGGGATGCATGCAGCGAGCCCCAGGGATGCATGCAGCGAGCCCCAGGGATGCATGCAGCGAGCCCCAGGGATGCATGCAGCGAGCCCCAGGGATGCATGCAGCGAGCCCCAGGGATGCATGCAGCGAGCCCCAGGGATGCATGCAGCGAGCCCCAGGGATGCATGCAGCGAGCCCCAGGGATGCATGCAGCGAGCCCCAGGGATGCATGCAGCGAGCCCCAGGGATGCATGCAGCGAGCCCCAGGGATGCATGCAGCGAGCCCCAGGGATGCATGCAGCGAGCCCCAGGGATGCATGCAGCGAGCCCCAGGGATGCATGCAGCGAGCCCCAGGGATGCATGCAGCGAGCCCCAGGGATGCATGCAGCGAGCCCCAGGGATGCATGCAGCGAGCCCCAGGGATGCATGCAGCGAGCCCCAGGGATGCATGCAGCGAGCCCCAGGGATGCATGCAGCGAGCCCCAGGGATGCATGCAGCGAGCCCCAGGGATGCATGCAGCGAGCCCCAGGGATGCATGCAGCGAGCCCCAGGGATGCATGCAGCGAGCCCCAGGGATGCATGCAGCGAGCCCCAGGGATGCATGCAGCGAGCCCCAGGGATGCATGCAGCGAGCCCCAGGGATGCATGCAGCGAGCCCCAGGGATGCATGCAGCGAGCCCCAGGGATGCATGCAGCGAGCCCCAGGGATGCATGCAGCGAGCCCCAGGGATGCATGCAGCGAGCCCCAGGGATGCATGCAGCGAGCCCCAGGGATGCATGCAGCGAGCCCCAGGGATGCATGCAGCGAGCCCCAGGGATGCATGCAGCGAGCCCCAGGGATGCATGCAGCGAGCCCCAGGGATGCATGCAGCGAGCCCCAGGGATGCATGCAGCGAGCCCCAGGGATGCATGCAGCAAGCCCCAGGGATGCATGCAGCGAGCCCCAGGGATGCATGCAGCGAGCCCCAGGGATGCATGCAGCGAGCCCCAGGGATGCATGCAGCGAGCCCCAGGGATGCATGCAGCGAGCCCCAGGGATGCATGCAGCGAGCCCCAGGGATGCATGCAGCGAGCCCCAGGGATGCATGCAGCGAGCCCCAGGGATGCATGCAGCGAGCCCCAGGGATGCATGCAGCGAGCCCCAGGGATGCATGCAGCGAGCCCCAGGGATGCATGCAGCGAGCCCCAGGGATGCATGCAGCGAGCCCCAGGGATGCATGCAGCGAGCCCCAGGGATGCATGCAGCGAGCCCCAGGGATGCATGCAGCGAGCCCCAGGGATGCATGCAGCGAGCCCCAGGGATGCATGCAGCGAGCCCCAGGGATGCATGCAGCGAGCCCCAGGGATGCATGCAGCGAGCCCCAGGGATGCATGCAGCGAGCCCCAGGGATGCATGCAGCGAGCCCCAGGGATGCATGCAGCGAGCCCCAGGGATGCATGCAGCGAGCCCCAGGGATGCATGCAGCGAGCCCCAGGGATGCATGCAGCGAGCCCCAGGGATGCATGCAGCGAGCCCCAGGGATGCATGCAGCGAGCCCCAGGGATGCATGCAGCGAGCCCCAGGGATGCATGCAGCGAGCCCCAGGGATGCATGCAGCGAGCCCCAGGGATGCATGCAGCGAGCCCCAGGGATGCATGCAGCGAGCCCCAGGGATGCATGCAGCGAGCCCCAGGGATGCATGCAGCGAGCCCCAGGGATGCATGCAGCGAGCCCCAGGGATGCATGCAGCGAGCCCCAGGGATGCATGCAGCGAGCCCCAGGGATGCATGCAGCGAGCCCCAGGGATGCATGCAGCGAGCCCCAGGGATGCATGCAGCGAGCCCCAGGGATGCATGCAGCGAGCCCCAGGGATGCATGCAGCGAGCCCCAGGGATGCATGCAGCGAGCCCCAGGGATGCATGCAGCGAGCCCCAGGGATGCATGCAGCGAGCCCCAGGGATGCATGCAGCGAGCCCCAGGGATGCATGCAGCGAGCCCCAGGGATGCATGCAGCGAGCCCCAGGGATGCATGCAGCGAGCCCCAGGGATGCATGCAGCGAGCCCCAGGGATGCATGCAGCGAGCCCCAGGGATGCATGCAGCGAGCCCCAGGGATGCATGCAGCGAGCCCCAGGGATGCATGCAGCGAGCCCCAGGGATGCATGCAGCGAGCCCCAGGGATGCATGCAGCGAGCCCCAGGGATGCATGCAGCGAGCCCCAGGGATGCATGCAGCGAGCCCCAGGGATGCATGCAGCGAGCCCCAGGGATGCATGCAGCGAGCCCCAGGGATGCATGCAGCGAGCCCCAGGGATGCATGCAGCGAGCCCCAGGGATGCATGCAGCGAGCCCCAGGGATGCATGCAGCGAGCCCCAGGGATGCATGCAGCGAGCCCCAGGGATGCATGCAGCGAGCCCCAGGGATGCATGCAGCGAGCCCCAGGGATGCATGCAGCGAGCCCCAGGGATGCATGCAGCGAGCCCCAGGGATGCATGCAGCTAGCCCCAGGGATGCATGCAGCGAGCCCCAGGGATGCATGCAGCGAGCCCCAGGGATGCATGCAGCGAGCCCCAGGGATGCATGCAGCGAGCCCCAGGGATGCATGCAGCGAGCCCCAGGGATGCATGCAGCCAGTGCTGAATGCACCACCTTCTGCAGGCACCACCTTCTGCAGGCACCACATGGGCATGCGTGTATGCTTCCACAGATCTCTTGCTGTATGTGGAATGGCATGGCATGGCATGCGTGCAGGCATGGACCGGGGAGGAGACGCTGGGAGCAGCGCTGCTGGCCATGGCAGTGCGCCTGCCAAGGGCACGCTTCATTATAGTCACACTGGGGGCAGACGGATGTGCCATGCTGGACCGACGGGTGGCTGCAGGTGAGGACTTGCTGCAGTAAGTGCTGTGTGCTGTGCGGTGCAGAGCGGGATTCAGTGGTGGAGAGTGTTTCAGTTCTGATTCGTATGGGTATAAGTGGGCAGCGACTCTTTGCAACGGAACGTTCTAATGGCTTCTCCCAGAGCCCTGTGCTCTGCACGATGTTGCCCCCCCTCCTCATGTTTGTCTTCAATGATCCTATTTCCCTGTTTCGCCCCCTCCTCATCATGCGTCACTGCTCTTCATGATATTCCCCCCCCCTCCCCCCTCCTCATGCCTCTCCTCTGCAGCCTCAGAGGCACCCAGTGAGGATGTGGACAAGGCACTGCAGTGGGTGATAAGAGCCGCACAGGAGAAGGGCAGGAAGCAAGGCAACCCTGCGGTCTTCTCCTCTCGGGTACTCATTCTTGCGTCACTGCACTGCTACCCTTGCCACCCATGCTTCTCCTTTGCTCTCCATGCCTACGGCTCCTGAATGTCTTACCCTGTCTGCGATATTCCTGTTTGTTTGGCCGAGACATTCTTTTTGGTGGCTGAGACTTTCTCTTTGCCATCCGTCCTGGTGTTTCCTTGTCACACAGCCCCTGCGTCTCAAGTCAATGGCACAAGGGACAGAAGTTGCCGCCCAGCTGGTGGCAGCGACAGCTGTGCCGCTGGAGGCAGGGCAGGTGGTCGATACCACCGGCGCTGGCGATGCCTTCATTGGTGCTGTTCTTTACGGTGAGTTCTGTTGTTCATGTAAAAACATACATGAAAGGAAAGTGGAAATTGCTTGCTTATGAGTATCGATTTACGGCATTTCCTTCGATTATTGAGGTATGTCTGTGCTGTGGATGAAATGCATCATCTCTCCCTCTTGGTCCTTCGGTATGCCAGTGCTACATGAAAACTATGTTACGTTTTTCTCTCCCCACATTGCCCTACGTGCAGCCATTTCAGCTGGTTTCACTGTTGATCGCATGCTCATACTAGGAGCTACTATTGTAAGTATGCATGTTCTCGTTAGGCTTCCTCTGTCCCAATTTCTGTTCCATGCGTCCTTCTCCCCAGTCGCGTTCATTTAGCTATGTACTGCCATGCCAGCACGATGGTCCGTTCCGTCTTCCATTCTTTTTTCATGGATGTACTTGTGCCCCCCAGGCTGCAGCGAAGTGCCAAGCCCTTGGAGCGCGTCAAGGCCTGCCCCGCCGTGACGACCCTCGCCTCACACACCTTTTTGAGCCTGAGCGTGCTGTTGCTTCTGGTTTGTAAATTATCTTTAACATAAATTTACATTCGATTAGTTTTAATAAGTCATGTACTTGTCAAATGCCTTGTCCAATGACGAGCTCTGACATCAAAGCACCTCAGTCTTCCACAACGGAGTCGCCTTTCCTGTCCCCTGCGTAACCGTTGGAAGGAAGTGGCGCTTCGATTCACGGCCTTACCTTTGGGGACCACGCCAAAATGTTCCTTTTCGGCGAGACGAGACGAGAACAAATGCGATGCCTGTTGCTGGTGCTGGCGCCGCTGCTGCTGAGGCCCACTAGGAAAACAAGGTTGCTGATAGAAAGCCATGGAGTAAGTGAAGATTTTCAATGCATCGCAACACTTCGTCGCGGCCATCACGTTGCGTGGTTGGCTTGCAACAGCCGCGGTGTAATCGTGTGAAGGTTTCCGCTCTTATGTCGCTGAGATTCCTTGGGAATGTTTAGGCAGCGGTGGGGAGATTTCCTGAAAATGGCGTCTGTGACATAGACGGAGCTTTTTTCTGTTGCTGATGCTCGCCCTGAAATAAGTTACTATCTGCAACCTTTTCTGCAGATATGGCCGCCATATAGTTTGCAAAATTACCTGTTAATCCATCGTCGATACAGAGCGGTATGGCACGCGTGTCTCCCCTTACCTTCACATTAGATTGTACCACCATCGCTTTCTTCATTCTAGTGGCGACTGGCTGCTGGTCATCAATAGCTGCAGAGAACCTGACGGTCAGCGACGCTTCAAGAAGAGGTTATCCGCAGCTAAGATTGAAGCAGCTGCCCGATACGTGGTCAGGACCCGAGGAAATTCCAAATTCTCTTTCCGAAGGAGGGAGATTAACGATTATCGCAAGGGAATGGAGCGATACAGCTGCGCCATTGCAAGAAACGAGGGACGAGCGCTCCGTGCTGGCTGGTCGGAGCTTGCTGAACAATGTGGATGTATCTAGAGACCACTCAAGAAAACCAGGAAAATTAGCAAAGTCGACCGCTCCGATGAGCAGCCGGAAGCGGGATAGCAGAGTACACACTCGACGGTCTGAGGCCTCAAATGGAGCACAGGGTGGGAGGATGGGCAAGCGAATCGATAAAGAGAAGAAGCCGCAAACAGAAAACAGTATCAAAAGGCGGAGCAGAGGTGGAAGGACTAAGAGACGCGCATCGGCAATGATTTTTTCCCCAGCGTCGTCCACGTCATCTTCTCCCCCATCCGGTAACAAATCGCGATCTTCACCATCAGCACCATCGCCATCAACGGCCAAGAAATCGCCTCCGCCAACCAAAGCCGTGTCATCCTTGTTCCCTCCCTCCTCACCCTCTTCCTCCAATTCCTCCCGGAAAACGCCGTCACAATCAAAATCACCAACACCATCAGCACCATCATCTCCATCGTCGCCATCATTGCCCCCACGAGCAGCACCGGCGGCATGGGGTGCGTCGAGGATGCAGCTGGTGACGGTGCCATCTGCCAGAGCCGTGTGCCTCGACGGCAGGTGCGCCGCCCAACGGAAGTCCTACTATGCTATCGCTAAGAAGATTCTGAGCGACGCTGGATTCACTCGCAGCACGTTATGAGCGATTTTTTCCCATCGTTTTTCAACTTCGTCAATGCCGCTGCGCCATTCTCGGCCAAGTCCGGTTTCTCACTTGCACTGTCTGACCCCTCACCTCCTACCACCTTCTCACCTCCTACCACCTTCTCACCTCCTACCACCTTTCTTTCCTCCCCTCTCACCCTCCAACCCGCCACTCTCCACGCTCACTTCCATCAATGTGTCCCTGTCATGCTCCATCCTCCCTTCTCGTCGTTGCAGCCCTGCTGGTTACTATTTCCGCAAGGGGACGGGCACTGGCACCAACAAGTGGCTAATCTACTTCCACGTAAGGCATGCCTGCCACGTCACTCATCCACGCGCATGTCACCGTGCTCTATCCGCGCCATGTTCTTAATTGCCCAACTGGCAGCATCCAAAGTTCCTCCCTGTACCCAGTCTCCTTCGCCCTTCCAACCCCCATTCCTCTTCCACGCCCTGTTCCTTGCGTTGCTCCTTCCCGTGCCGCTTTCCATGCGTTGCTTCCAGGGCGGCGGGTGGTGCACGACTGCAGCGGACTGCCAGCAGCGCGCCAAGACCTTCCGCGGCTCCTCTCGCTTCTGGCCGAAACCCACGGATGGCAACTTCACGAGGCTGGTAGGGTATTTCTGTGCGGGCCTGTAGGAAGTCTAGTAACGAGGATGGGGTGTGTAAAGTAGAATTCGCAATGGTGAGACTGGCATTCCTTCAGAGGGCGGTGTGGTGATAAGGGAAGAGCATTCAGGACAACACCCACAGTGCTGGTATTTTCCTTGTGTTGGGAGAGGTCCGTCAGAAGGTATGGGGGGTGAAAAAATTTGTGGAGTTAAGTGCAAGGCTGGGAATGCTGTGGCGCATGGGGTGACGATTTTAGTATGGTGCAAAGAGGTGCAATGTGCAGAGAGGCACATAAAGGCACAGGGATATTCACTTGCAGGCTGGTGTAGCTCTGCCTTGTGCACGGGGTGGAGAAGGATGGAGAAGGCAGGTCAATATTCCGTCCTTATGCAGTGCTCCTTGCATTTTGCGCATAGCCCCTCTCCTCCCTTACCCCCTCTTCCCCCCGCTCTCATGTCACGGGCATTCTGAGTGCAAATAATTCATGATGCCCTCAAAAACTGCCTTCTTCCCCAAACTATCCCTCCTTGTCCCCCGTACACCCCCTTCTTCCCCATCCCCCTGCATCTCTCCCACAGATGAACGACTACCACACGCAGTTCACAGGCATTCTGAGCGCAGACACCATAACCAACCCCGTTTTTGGCAACTGGAACCTGGGGGTGCTTATGTATTGTGACGGAGGGGCGTATATGGGGTACAAGGGCCGCGTGGCAGTGGGCTCGTCTCGTGTGTTCTACTCGGGTCGGCGAGTCGTCATGCTGCTGCTGGAAGGTGCGTGGGGGCTGAAAGGCGTCGGAGAATCGCCACTGGAGGGTCTCAGTGGGGAATGAGCAGCAAACGAAAGCAGTAGCTCCAAGATAGTAGTAGCATAAGGTGATTCTTCCACGGGACGTTGGAGAATATCAAGCATACCATGTGCTTAGTGGCCCGTGGGACGAACTGGGAAATTCTTGTAAAGGCTCAAGATGATTCATCCCACGTCTAGGAGCGTAGTTATTACTGGACAACCCATGCTCTCTGTATTTTCCTCCTTGCAGATATGCTCAAGATTCGTGGGTTGTCAACAGCATCAGCAGTGCTTATAACGGGTTGCTCAGCAGGTGGGCAGGGGGTGGCGGTGAGCTGTGACTGGATGGCCTCTCGCCTCCCTTCTACCACCACTGTCAAGTGCGCCATTGATGCCGGATACTTCTTAGGTGAGACATTCCAGAAGTATGTAAATATGGTTTGAATACTTTTTGGTTGAGTTTGAAAATCTTATGAGGAGCAAGTTGATCCATGCTGCTGCGGTCACCCTTCAGCAGCATGGATCAACATATTGAGAATTCCCCTTCACCCGTTCGTTTCGTTGTCGACCATCCTCCATCCGTTGCTCCCTCGTCCCCCATCTCCCCCATCCTATCCCCCGCCTCCTTTAAACCATACCTTCATCCCCCCCTCCCTGCCAACCTGCCCTTCCAGACGAGCTAGACTTGGTGGGACACTTTTCCTTTTGTGGCATGATGCAGCGCATGTTGATCTCCCAGTGAAACAACACGTCCTTAACACACTACTTAACCTCTCCCCTCCCTTTTCCTGCCACCTGCCCTTCCAGACGAGCCAGACTTGGTGGGCCACTTTTCCTTCCGTGGCATGATGCAGCGCATGATGGTCAGCCAATGGAGCGACGCGTCTTTCGACCCGCAATGCGTGAAAGGTGAGACCGTGACTGAACCGCTTGTGAGGAATCATCCTAGCACCTGCAAATGTGTAATGTGTCCACACACAACTAGCATCACCTTTCCCCCCTCCTCCTTTCCGTCATATTCTCCACCATCCAGCACAACTTCCATCCTTATTGGCTCACCTTTTCCCATCCTCACGCCGCTCCCTTCCGCCAACTTGTTCCCCTTGACCAGCCTATCCCCGCACCGAGAAGTGGCGCTGCATATTCCCAGCCAACGCCCTCCAGCACACACAAACGCCTTTCCTCGTCCTCAACTCAGCGTTTGACCTTGCAGCGCTGGCCATCGGGCTGACCAGAGGCAACGTTGAGGCCATGACTGGCTCGTATGAGAGCGTTGTTCCGTGCTACCACTCCGAACGCTTTCTCTCCTGCCCCAGGAGAATCCGCAAGTATGTAGGGCACCATGCCATAGTGCTCAGAAACTCACTGCAAGCATTGGTGCAAAACCGGCAAGCAGCAGGGGTGCAGTCAACAGCAGTAGTTCCTAACAAAACAAGCCATTGTACCATGGCTTATGACAACTGGTCTGTACCTGATGCCAGTGGTGTCAGGCTCAGGGACGTGGTGGCTGCTTGGTTCTTTGGCAAGCAGCTGTGACAGAACAGAACGCAGCCAAGTTCCAGAGGTATGGTAATTATTTTGTTTTGCACATTCTTTATTGTAAGGGCATCTATCTATGCTTTCCCTGTTCCATAGAGCAGCTCACATTGAAATATTCCATCGTAGATCATCAAAGCTTTATTCAGAAACGACTTGCTGGAATTGGCCAGAACTAGCACCCCAATAGAAGGGCCGTCCGAACGAATCGTTTATATCATGCCACTCCTCTGGGATACCCTTCCGCCAGTCGTATGGTATTTACAATGAATACTCGGCAGAAAATGAGTAAACCCCTTAAAGATCAGCAGGCGTGGCGAGGACTAGAGAAGGCCGCAAATCCGCCAACCCTTCGAGACGGACGACTCTGCTAAGCAGCCATCATCAACGGTCGCGTTTCCTCCACCTCCGGCTCTCGAAGCGGAGCGGTTGCTGCGGCGGGAACAGCGGCGTGGTGGCCCTTGTACGACACCCTGGCGATGGCCGACTCGTACGACGCGAGCACGGTGAACGACAGCGTGAACGCCACGGCAACCCCGAGGACGAAAACGACGCCGCGGATCGTGTCCCACAGAGACTCTGGCGCGGCGGCCTTGGTTTCCTTGGCCTGCTTCGACTCCGTCGCCATTGCGGGGGACGAATCTGGCAGCAGAGAGCTCGGAAGGAACTGACGACACGGATGGCCTGATAGACACTGAATAAACCACTAATAAAAGCTGAAGCACAACTGAACGCCCTGTGTATTGTGATCGTGATGAGTTCCCTAGGACTTATCTTGCGCTACCAAGCCACAGATGTGGAGCAGGCTCCTGTCTTGTGCCTAGCCTGCTGTCACGAACTTTCGGTTCAACTGAGCTTCACCGAGGCTGGTCCGTCGTTCTGGGCACATGAAGTTTTTTTTTTTTTGCCTGAACTATTCCGGACAATAACATTCTCCACACCCACCGCCAAGACTGGGAAATGGCTACGCACTGCGACAAATGCTCGACTAGGAACATTTTTTCCGCACGGAACTCCAATTTCCTGCCCAGTAAATTCGATATGTTCAATTGTGTCGTCCCCGAATGCCAAAGCTACCGCTTCACCTGCCGAGAAGTTCGCGAGTACGTCTCTTCTCTCGAGAATGTGGCGCGCCGAAGAAGAATGTGGCACGTGAGCTGAGTTCCATGCAGCTTGAATTGTACCCCTTGAAATTCGCGTGCGTTCTTGCAGCAGCCTTTATGCGTGGACTCAAGGCACTCTGACGTGGGATGAGCTGTGGACTCTGGTGGATGGCGTCAATAGACACTGCTCTGTAGAATCACAATTGAGCAAGTTCTGGTTGGATGCGCTGATGAGGACAATTGTACGCAAAAGTATACAGTTGGAGAAGGTGTAGCCAAACTCATCAAAGTTGTTCAATGTGTGGGAGAATCACAAACCAGCCGCGACATAGGGACAGCGCGCCGTTACGAGGACCACTTTCCGAGACGCAAATGGGGGGAAGCGGCCTTGAGTTACGGCGAGCATTCTGGAAGTGCTGAGAAGGGTGCTTGGTGCTCGTTCAATCGGTTGGTCCTTGTAACGAGGTGCAACAAACTCAAGTTGGTGAGATACGAACGGACCTGTGCGGGTGTCGTGTACCGCAAAACCCCCATCTTCGCTAAAGGACAACCATTTGCGAACTAACGAACTCCATGTTACTGTCGCACAAAACATGCGGTCCGCTCCAGCCAGGTCAGTATGAGCTCAGACTCTCACATTTCAGTTGTGCAGAGCATACTCCAATCGCATGGGCATTTCTAAGTGGCCGTTTCACTTTCGTCATCGTCGTAATCATCTCATCTTCGACGTTGAATCACATCTTTTCGTCGCAGCCTATTACGCTCTGATATTCGTCGCTTGCGGGGCTGCGACGCTGTGCGACGCACCCAGGTTTCGCCGGGAACTTCACGCATGTGTGAGCAGAAGAATTTTTAGACAGTGTCCGCATATTCGTCCAGTAATCTCGCAGTACGGTTCAGTACGTTGCCAGACGGTAAAGAGCAGGTTTCGGATAGCACCGCTTTGAACCGCATATTACCTTCTGAAAACGAAGACGCTGAAGACCCACCTGCCTGAGCATCGTACCACATGCACCATCCGCTCCATCCCTCTCCCACCACTCCTACCCTTGAACATCTTAGTGCTTATGACAACTATTTGCGAGACACCACCCAGGCCTGCCTGCGTCCCCTAGTCTCTCTCGTCCGAGTCCTTCCACACAAAACGACGAGATGACAATTGTGGTGGCACCCTGGTCACACTCTCTCCATACTCACACGGCTTGGCCTTGACTGATTGCAGCTTGCTGCGCGGACGGCCACATTACGTCTGACAACCACCACCGCCTGCAACTTCCTTGTGGATAGGAAATGAGGATGTCATAGGGCCCTCGGCCTAGTCGCAAAGCTTTTCGCCGTTTGTAGTATGACCCGTCCATCCTGTGCGTCCACGCAAGCCGCAATCCGCCATGGATCAGGATTTTCCAGATTTTCTGTTAGCATTGCTTCGCTGGTCGTGAGCTCCTTACTCCGTCACCATGGCTTGTCGAAGTCGTCGACCAGACACAGCTGCGCAGCTGTGCTACGAAGTAGGATAACGGACAGTAGCGTCGACCAATTGTAGGTCCGTAGAGTCTTAGCTCTGACTCGTTGATAGAGGTAACAGCAGAACCCGTCAATCGCACATTTAGAGTTCCTGCGGTTTGGAGAAGGTGGCTCGAAGCTCATATAGCGTGGTCAAGGCGTCTCGAACCGCGAGTGCGTGCTGCCGTTGGCCATGGCGGCTGCCGCCGTGCTGCCACCTGGCAGGGCGGCGCGGGCCGTGGTGTCGGCGATGGAGACGTACCACGACGCGCGCATCCAGTTCGTCGGGAAAGTCAGCGACCTCGCCTTCTCCCCGCAGGTAACGCTTTTTTTTTCTCTCTCTCTCTCTCTCTCTCCCACACAGGCCGTGAGACACTTCGGAAGTAGCTTTGCGGAAAGGCGAGCAGCGGACAGGTTCCGCTTGGTGCACGAGCAGCAGTAGGTTCCGCCAGGTCTGGTTCGCACGACGAGCAGCGGACGGTGCGTTTTTTGTCGGGATGGCGACGTCTGAAGCGGCAGCAGCGGAGGTAGAGGGCTGTGTGGCGTGCCGTGTAGGAGCCGGGTGCAGGGTCCCTGGAGAATGAAGCTGACGTGGCGGACGGACGCATCGACGCGCAGAGGGGGTTCGGGGCGAGGCAGAGGTTCGACGCCATGCGGTGCAATAGGGAGGCGAGGGGAAGGGGAGGCAATTGGAGGGAAGTGGGGGGGAGGGGAAGCGAGGGGAGGAGAGGGGAGGGTAAGGGGGCAGCGGCGGAAGGGAAGGACGCGGAAGCTGAGGGGAGCTCTGGTAGATCAATTGAACGGGTAGAGACGGAGGAAGGCAAGGCGACGAGAAGAGTCAGGGTGCAGGACGGTGGGAGCAGATAGCCCTCGGTTCTGCGGTACTTCGTGGCTCGCGCTGCTGCAAGGCTCGCGATAGTTCTAAGCTCGCGGTAGTTACTCGCGGTAGGGTTGTGAGGATAGGACGGCGATGAGCAGCGCTCGTCCGACCCGTCGTGTTGGCGTAACTGCCAGGGCAAAACCGTGACCCTTTCGCCCTCACTTCCTCTAACAGATGGGGCCACAAAGAGGACTTCCCTACCCCTCCCCTTCCCGCCACCCCTCCCTTCCACCTCCCAGCTTCCCCCGTATCCCCTCTCTATAGCCCTCGTCTCAGCCACCCGCGCCTTCTTTCATGCTCTGTTCGCTTGCGTTTCCCCTCCTCCCCCTTTTCCCCCTCGTCCCCTCCATCCTCCCCGCCACACGCGCCGCAGAACGCGGAGGCGTTCTTTTCGTTGGGCGCCATGCAGCTGCTCCTGCCGCTCATGCATGACGTCATGTCGTCCGTGCGATCCGCCGCGATTCTCTCGTTGGGCCGCCTCGCCAACGTGTCGGACACGTGGGCCAATGACATCGTCGATCGCAACATACTCCCCGACCTCTGCAAGGCTCTCGCGTGAGTCATGCGGCCTTACTCTCAAAAGCACGCGTGAGTCCTGAGGCGTCTCGGAGCCTGGCGTGAGCGCAAAGCACCGTTCTCTCGTTGCTTCCCTCCACTCTTTCTCCTCTGTCTCTCACCACCCTCGCTTCCCCGTCTCCTCCTTCCCGTCTCCCCCCTCACCCGCGTCTTCCCCCCTCACGTGCGTCTTCCCCCTCACCCCGCTGTCCCTCGTTCACCCCCTTCCACTCGTCAGCGGCAACAACCGGCACCACAAGCGCGCCGCCGCGTTCGCCGTCAAGGCCGTGGCGCGCCACGCTGGCGCTGAGCTGGCGGCGGTCGGCAGCAGCGGCCCGGGTAGCGTGCTGCCGGTCCTCGCGGAGTGCCTCACAGACGCGATGCCGGCCGTGCGCGAAACGGCCGCGTGCGCTTTGGGCCACGTGGCGAAGCAGAGCCGCGAAGCGGCGACGCGCGTGATAGAGACCGGCGCGGTGGCGACTTTAATAGGGTCGCTACACGACGAGGAGGTAGCGCGAATGGCGCTGTCGGTTCTAGGAGACATCGCGCGGCACTCCGCGGAACACGCGACTATTGTGGCGGACGGGGGGAGAGGGGAGGCGGACGGCGGGGCGGGCGCAGCGGAAGGCGGGGCGATCGGGAGAATCGTGGCGCTGCTGGGATCGAAGGACGTGAAGATGCGCCGCCAGGTGAGAGGCGCGGGGGGAGCGGCAGGATGGGGGAAGCGGGAGGACGGGGCCTGGAGGGGAGATCGGGGGGAATTGGGGAGATGATCGGCGACAGTAGTATGTTCAAATCAATCTGCCAACCTCGGTCCTCCTTCTCTCCCTCACCCCTGCGTGCCCCATCCGCTCCCTCTCTCCCTCTTCTCCCCGTGCGCTCTCTGCGCGCAGGTGTGCGTGTGTCTGTCGCAAATCGTGAAGCACTCCGAAGCTCTCGCCATTGTAAGCCCTCCTCCCTTCACGCTCCTCCTCCTCCTCCTCCTCCTCCTCCTCCTCCTCCTCCTCCTCCTCCTCCTCCTCCTCCTCCTCCTCCTCCTCCTCCTCCTCCTCCTCCTCCTCCTCCTCCTCCTCCTCCTCCTCCTCCTCCTCCTCCTCCTCCTCCTCCTCCTCCTCCTCCTCCTCCTCCTCCTTCCCCACCCTCACACACTCCCCAACCCCCACGCCCTCCCCTCTCCCCCTTTTCAAGTGCCGCGCCACCCGTCTCTCAATTCTGAAGCATTGCAACATACACACCATGCTTGCTCTTGCTTCCCTGCACAGCGCTCCCCTATCCTCGCGCTCTTGCCATCCTTTCGCCACTTCTCACACCCCCGCTCATCCCCGTCTCTCCCCATACCTTCAATTTCTCCCTCCCTAATTCCCCCTTCCCCTCCTCTCCCCTTCCCCATCCCCCCTCCCCACAGCGCGTGGCGTGCGCGGAGGGCATATCGCGCCTCTTCCTCTGTCTGCACGACTCCGACCAAGCCCTCCGCCGCAACGCCGCCTTCGCCATGCGCGAGATTGCGCGCAAGTCGCCCGCCGCCGCGGACCGCCTCATACACCTGGGCGCAATCGGCCCCGTTATAGACGCGGTTCTTACAGAGGAGGGCGGCGCGGGTTCCGCGCGCCTGGCGGTCGTGCAGGCGCTGGGGCACCTCGCGGGCGCGGGGGGGGAGGGCGCGCTGGCGATAGTGGCGTCTGAGGGGGTCGCGCCGCTTAAAGAGCTGCTGATTCAGGCTGACGTGGAGGAGAGCGTGCGCGGCGCGTGCGCGTGGGCGCTGAGTCAGATCGGGCGGCATAGTTCGGCGCATGTGAAGGCCGTGGCGGATTCTGGAGCGTTGATTGACATGGTGACGGTGGCGACCGTTGATCTCGCACATGCTGCTTCTGGTGCTAGCAACGCTGCTGGTGGCGCTGCTGCTGCTTCGCTGGCAGCAGTCGAGGCGCGCACGAGAATAGTGAGGGCCTTAAAAGACCTAGTTAGTGGGGTGGGCGAGCTCGAGTCGCTAGACTCGCTGCTACAGTGGACCACTCTCCCCGAAGGGGTGCTAGAAGCGGTGCTTCTGCGAATCTTCCACGTCCTTAATAGCAGCAGCAACGCCTGCCGCTCCACCTTCGTCCAATCGCGAGGCTTCGCGAAGCTGCAGAGGTTGCACGAGGAGGCAGAGGCGAGGAGAGCGGCGGCTAACGCGGCGGGTGGAGAGGGAGGAGCGGGAGGAGCGGCTTGTGTGCATAACGGGGTGGACTATAACGCGGTTTACGACCATATCGCCATGATCAACACGTTCTTCCCGTTTGAGGTCTCTGTAACGTACCCGCCGGAGTACCAGCAGCGGCTACTGGAGAAGCTTACAGCGAGTATGAACGCGGACTCGTCTGGGTCTGGGTCCCCCGGGAAGAAGGGCAAGGGGAAGCTTCCGCGTCTCAAGATAGGCAAGGGGGGGTACCTCGTGGGGAAGGGCGGTTGGGAGGAGGCGGAGCTGTCGCCTGGGGAGAGCGAGGAGGAGGTGGGGAAGCGCCTGGGGATGGCGGACCTGGTCGGGGGAAGGAAACCGCATGGGATGGCGGGGGAAGCGGGGGAGGCGGAGAGGAGTGGGGAAGGGGAGGGAGGGGATGCGGTGGTGGTGGAAGAGAGGAGCGGGGAGAGCGGAGCTGTGTTGGCGGGTGAAGGAGGGGAGAGTGCGGATTCGGGGGAGAGGAGAGGAGAGGCGTCGTCAGAAGCAGTCTCAGGCTCAACTGCAGCATCTGTACCTCCCGCCCCGCCAGCAGCAGAATCAGAACCGCCACCAGCAGCAGCACCGCCAGCACCACCTGATCTGCCCGCTGCTCCTCCTCCCGCTCCCCCTGCTGCTCCCCCGCCTGCCCCACCTGCTCCCCCTCCGCCCGCCCCTCCAGCCCCACCTCCCCCCCCACCTATTGCACCAGACGCTTCAGTGCCTCCCCCTCCTCCTGCCCCTGCTCCTCCTGATCCTCCTTCTCCTCCTCCTCCCCCCGCGCCCCCTGCCCCTCCTGCCCCTCCTGCCCCTCCTGCCCCTCCGCCCCCTGCTCAATCCGCCCCGCCCCCACCTCCCCCGCCCCCACCCCCCCCTCCACCACCACCACCGCCTGCCTTCGACCCTCCCCCTCCCCCTCCCCCTCCCCCTCCCCCCCCGCCCGCCCCTGAGCCAGCAGCACAGGCGGGAAGAATCCCACCCCCACCCCCTCCACCTCCTCCCCCTCCCCTCCCGGGCAGCTTCTATTAGAGCAGCAGGCTGATGGGCTGTGAGACGCAGCAGTGGCCGTGTCACGGACAGGGGGTGAGGCAGGGGCAGGCTGCAGAGATAACAGTGGCAGAGGGAGAGGAGGCATTGACAGGGGCAGTGGCCGTGGTGGTGGGGAGATGTTGGCGTTGGGGCAGTGGCAATCCCATACCTGCTGCAGGAGGGTGGGAATAAGTGTGCCTGTAAACTGTGTGAGGGATATCCACTACCCACACGAGTGTGCAGCAGGCAGCAGCATGCTCCAGCAGGGGGCACGCTGTGAAGCACCTGGGGCTGATGGTCTCTCTTTCCTCAACCCAAGAAGCTTCAGGCGGACCTGCGATGCTGCTGCAGCAGGCATGCTGTGAGGTGACATGGACTGGCATGCAGCCAGGGAGACCTGACCCTGGGCTGCAGCGAGTGAGTGGGAGCTGCCAGCTGTGGCTCTCGTGTTCACATCACATCCTCGTGAAAAGCTCGTGTACTGGTGCAATGCTGAAAGAGAGGAACGGTGGTAAATGGTTGTGTTGTCCCCAAAACGAAGGGCAAGAGAGGAAGCAGTTTCTTGCTGCATGGTGGAACTGACAGGCAGTGGCAGTGAAGGCGAGAGTCCGAGCCGTGTGTGGATTGTAGCAGCAGCAGCATCATGTGCGTCTGATCTGATCGTGTTGCTCCTGACGCATGTTGCGGTGCTTCTACTCCACGAGTTTAGACTGTAGAAATGTAGCTGGCTGTAGGGTGTAGGTGCTATATTCGTTTCATTTATGTTGCAGGGTAGGTGCTTCCGTGGGCAGTAGTAGCCTGCAGGAAGATATGCTTTATTTTATGTTTTTCACTTAGGTTATGTAGGTTATTATTGTAATATTGAGTGTATTATTGTGCCTTCATTTTTGTAAGTGACCTTTTGTTTTGCAGGTTGAAACGTCCCAGGCCAAATAGCTGATGCCCATCTGTAAGCTGAGTCTTTTCTGCATGTATGGTTGGGTACACAGCATAGCATGGCAAGGGCAGTGGCACCATTAGTTTGCCAGCAGCACTGCCTGAGGTGCAACCTTTGGAACATCTCTGAACACATAGCAAGGGCAGGGCAGCCCCGCCCCACCCTTCAGTAGTACTGCTTGATTGTTCGTTCTGAAAAGGTTCCAAAGTCCATGCCCGGTTGCCACGGCACCAACTCCTGCAGGGATTGTGATGAAGGGGAGGGAATGCAATGGAGCGGTATGCATGGGAGAGAGCTGAGAGGTGTGAAGGGTGAGAGGTGTGAGAGTGAGAAGAGTGCGAGAGGTGTGAGGGGCGGTGTGATGCGGCGCTAGTGATAAAGCTTGTCTGACACAGATGGCCAACAAGAAAGGAGCCAACAAGAAAGGAGCCAATAAGAAAGGAGCCAACAAGAAAGGAGCCAATAAGAAAGGAGCCAACAAGAAAGGAGAGAGTGCAAGCAGACTAGTGGTGGGCCCCACCTCTGGTGTAAGAGAGCAGCAGGGAGGCATGTCGAGAGGCTCGTTCCTGGGTTGCGGAGAAGTGGGGAGAACACTGGGGAGTGAGTGAGAGTGGGAGACATGGATCAAGAGGAGAGTGTGCGGGCGAGCAGGAGCGGTGAGGGATGGCATGACCGGGAGAGCATGGGGGGAATGCAGGTGGAAGACATCCAAACAAACATATGGCATGGTTCCGCTGATGGTAGTGCCTGCCTGAGCCATGTTGACAGAGGGGTCAGCATGTGAGGGGTTGGTTGGGTGGGAGAGACACAGAGCCCCCGACTATGCTGCACAGTGCATGCTAGCAACACGTACCATGAGGGCTGATGATCGGGCGAGGGCAGCACGGCGATTGTGATTGGTTCGCGCAGCGATGGTGCATGGGAGGGATGGTGGCATGGGAGTGGAGATGCAACACGGGAGAAGGGATGAGAAGGAGAATTGGGCAACATAGTGGAAGCACAACGGGAATGGAGGTTGTGAGAGCTTTGAGATGGTGAGAGCGATGGCAGGAGCAGCAACGTCTGGACCAAGCACATGGTGATTGCTTGCATGACTTACATGAGCATTGCTAAGAGCATCTCCCTATGAGCTTAGGCATTGCACATGGATGGAAAGTGCGGGCACACATGAACACAGTACGGACCTGCATAAACAGTACGAACCTGCATGAACAGTACGTACCTGCATGAACACTGCTAATGTGGCGCGAGAAACGCCTATTGATGATGCCGGCCCTTTAGGTGCCTGTGTGCATGCATGGCATGGCACGGGTGGGTGAAATGGCATGGAAGGGCCGGCTGAGTATATATGGCATTAGCAGGACGAACATGGACTGGAGTGACATGGGTTGGGATGGCAACGGCACAGAGCTGATGGGATGGAGGCAACGGGACGAAGCAGAATGAGGGACGGCGGAAATGAATACAAGTGTGAAGAGGGGATATGTGGGAGAAGAGGCAGGGTACCGCAACGCAGTGGGGCGTGGCAGCTAGGAGCCCCCCCGACTGGATGGACATGGCGTGACCCACTTGAAACGCTATGCACCCCTCTGGTATACGCGCCTGGTGCACATGCATGCATGCACAAAGATGCATGGAACACGTAATGAGGCATGATCGACACCGCAATCAAAATGGAATCAAGACAAGGATGGTGAATGGACAACAAGAGAATGTCAACAGAACCACCGGATGGTGCTTGCTTCTTGCAAGACAAGGATGGTGCTTGCTTCGTGCAACACACACACCTGCACAATCTGCCCGTCCCTGGTTCGGATGTAGAGGCCACACGAGGGGTCCAGGTCGCTGCCCTCCACCGCCTCCCCTCCCCTCCAGAACTGCGCCCTCGTCAGGCCTGACATAGATACAAGCAGGCAGGGAGGAAGAGACTGAGTGAGGGAGGGGCGAGTGTGTGATCGAGGGAGGGAGAGCGCGAGTGAGTGAATGAGGCCGGCACAAGAGAGGTACTTGCGTGGGAGCAAGCAGGAGCGCAACTTGGGAAGAAGCACGGAGAGAAGAGAACGCAAGCACGTGCCTGTGAGGGAGCCATGATCCAGGTGCCAGCCACACCACGACGACACGTCCGCATCTGCCACAGCCGTTAGACTCTCAGAAGCAGACACACCCCCATTGCCCCCATTGCCTGCACACGCCACTGCCTCCTCCCTTGATACCTTGCTGCTCTCAGCAGGCAATTCGCCCTCTCCCTCTCCCTCTCTCTCTCCCTGTGCTGCTGACGGTGCGGGTGGGGGCTGCTGCGGTGACAGGTAGAGCAGCAGGCGGGCCTTGTGGCAGGGGGACTGCTCCACCACTCGTAGCAGCTTGCCTGAGGGCACGTGAGGGTTCCTGCTGTGCACTGGCATGGGGTGGTGTGGTGGCGTGGAGAGGGATGACAGGCTGAAAGAACGGTTCCACTTGACAATGCTTAAATGCCGACGTTTGAAAGGAAGGAAGGAAAACCACTCATGCAAGATAGTTGTGGTTTGAAGGCTCACCGTAGGCATCACAATGTTGCAGCAACTGCTTGCCCACGTCCACTATCAACCGGCCCAGCGCCTTGAAGGCTGAGGCAATTACAGCGGAGCAGGGAGAAGAAAGAGTGGAAGTCAATTCAGCGTCATGATGTGACTATAACGAGTCAGTATCACATGCACAGGAGGCAGCTAGCTGAGTGGCTGGAGGCCAGCTCACCTGGTTCAAGCTCGGGAAGGTCTTGTGAGGGCCACACGTTGGGGCGGCAGTAGGTGGGGAACCTGTGTGCAGGGTATGCGCATGTGCATGGGTGCATGTACATGAGTACATGGTGCATGTGCAGACAAACTTCCACATGCACACGTAGGTGCACATGCAAGTGCAGATGCACATTCGCGCACATGGACATGCATGTAAGAATGAGGTGGGGTTGCACTAGTGGATAAAGCTATGAACGAAAGCCAGGGCAGGTGCCTTCTTGGCACCCTCACAACAGGCTTGCTTCTCCTCACCTGCGTATAAGCTCAGGATCGGTGGTGGGCGTGTCGGTGAGCGGGTTGGCATAGAAGGACGCCTTGAGCGCGTCCCTTCTGCCTGCCTCCACCGACTCCTTACCCTCGCTCCATCCAAAGCTGTACCTGCCGTGCACCGTGTGCGTGCAGTCGAATCAGGCGCATGCGACATTGTTGTGAGTTGACATGAACAGGCACGAAACACGAGAGTTTGAAGAGAAGGATTAGCCACGGCACTTACTTGCTGTTTGGGTCCTCAATGCGTCTCTTGGCCTCCTCTGGGAGCGCCCCAAGCCTGGACACGTGCACACGCCCATGGTCATGCACGCACCAACACAGTGATGCACAGACACTCACAGGCATCAGCTAACGTGTGGTTTGGACGAGTTGGAACAGTGTGACACTGCTGGGTAATATCAGCGTACAGACCTTAACGCGAGCGGAAGAAGCCGCTCCCTTGCCTCAGGATAGCCGGGAACCTGAAAACAGACCACGCTACTCTTCAGCCGACTTGTTTTCCTTTCTTTTTACAAAACGAAGAAACGCAGCACTCAAGGCTGTAGCTCGCAGCGTATCTCTACTCGCAGCATGTTCTCTTACATCGGAAACAGCAATGATTCCCAGACCTCCAGGCCCGAAAGCAGCTTCGATTTGAGAGGAGAGATCGTTGCCTTCCTGGTTGTAATCCAACGGACGGGCAGAAACGAGGGGTGGGTCACTACTGGTGATAACTCACGCAACTACTAGTGCTTTCTCGCTGATGTTTTTTGAACGAACTATACACGGGAGTCAGCGACGCGATGCAACTGCGATGCGTGCGTCAGGGACATTCTAGTGCCACCGACGACGGAGCGCTGCCGTCATCTGATCGCGTGGTAAATGCGAGGCTGACGTAACTGAGACGTCACGACACTGGCTAATGACAGACCTTGAGATCCGCGAAGCTCACTCGAACCACCTCCATGGCACCACCTGCTGCTCGCTCCAACTCGAACTGTTAGCTTCACGATAGGAACCAACGCCGAGAGAAGATGAAACCCCAATCACTAAGATAGATACGCGAAGTGGAAACAGGCGAATGCGGAGGTCGAGCAACGTGTGTCGCGGAAGGTGACAAAGGTAGACCCAAAGCACGAGTAGACAGAGGATGTCCAGTCCACGCTCCAGAGTGTGGTTCAGGCTTCTAGAGAAATTTCAGGAGTTTCCATTGATCTCCACTCCACATTTGAAATGAAATGATGCTCAAATTAGACCACTACACCAGGGAGCCTTGGGATTTGCGCAGCCAGCGTGAGCATGAAGATTCAGCAGGCACACTTTGCCTGCGAGTACAGTTGGCGTTTGACGTTGTGACAGCCTACGAAAGCTTCTGCGAACAATGTATGGGAATATGCGGTGTAGCTGCGACAGTTCGCATCATTGTTCGTAGAATTGGTTTGATCGAGATAATGGCGAAAAGCGAGTCACACAGTTAGGAGTACAATTTTTGAATGGATGAGGCACATGCATGCATCTGGTTTCACCCCATATTCACTATACAGTTGATAGTCACCACACCTCGGCACTCCCAGTGCTGCTGATTGTCCGCTGGTAGACGAGGCAGGAATCAGGACTAACATCAGGCTGTTTCTAAGAGTTCCTGGTTGCTCGCCAATGGCTCTCTCGCTGCAAGCCAGCTCCGCCGTTCCGCTGCGCGCAGCGTTCAAGCAGGAACGCGCGCGCGATGCCACGTCAGTGAGCGTGGCATTTGCTCCGCGAGTTGCGACGACCAACGCCAGCCGTTCGTGCGTTCGTAGAGGAAAGGCGACCGCGCAGCGACGACAATGGCGGTCGCTGAAGGTGCCATATTTGCGCTACATATGTTCACATGCACGCGACTAAGTAAAATGCGGGAAGTGTATTGTCGTTCGGCGTGCGCTCGTCTTGCTTCCCATAGCAGTCAGCTCCGCTATGCACCTCTTTCCATCCTGCCCCTCGGCTCCTTCCCACCGTTATCTTCCAACCCGCAGGTTGCGGCGTCATCCGCGACAAAGACAGCAGAACCCGTAGTGGAGGAATCGACCGTGCTGCGTGTGATTATATCGGGGGCTCCGGCCTCGGGAAAAGGCACACAATGCGAGGAGATTGTTAAGAAGGTTCGTGCATTGGAAGGTATGCGACAGAACAGATTTCACCGAAATGGGGTGGAAGGACCAGAGCTGCGGGGACAATCATAACTGCTGACAGCGTCATGCCTGCCTGTTGTTCAGTCACCCCCGCTGTTTCATCCCATTTGCTTCTTGCAGCGCTGTTCCCTTGGGCCCTCACCGCCACTACTGCCTGGTGCATGTCCCCATGAGGAACTGGGGTCAGACAAGGTGCTTGTTTCTAGAGGTGCAATGTGCTCCTTTCTGTCATCTCACACCCCCTCGTGGCCGCCAGTACGGTTTGGCGCACATCTCAACGGGCGACCTGCTGCAGGTTAACTCTCTGGCAACTCTCCTGTCTCATTCTCCTCGTTTCTGCCTCCTTATCGCCTCCGACCCCCTCACCATCAGTACGGTTTGGTGCACATCTCAACGGTCGACCTGCTGGGGGTTGACTTTGCTATGACACGCCTGTCTCGTTTCTCCTGACTCCCGCCTCCTTACCGCCTTTCACCCCTCCTTCCGCCGCTCCCTCCTTCCACCCCTCGTGGCCACCAGTACGGCTTGGCGCACATATCAACGGGCGACCTGCTGCGGGACGAGGTGGCGCGCGACACGGAGAACGGCAGGCAGGCCAAGGCGTTCATGGACGCGGGGCAGCTCGTGCCTGACGACCTCGTCATCAGCGTGAGTGGGGATGGGATGAGATGAGGTTGTTGAGGCTTCTCAGAAATCCCTCACGTGGTCGCTCGGGGCATGACGAGCGGGAGGAGTGCTGCCAAGGCGTTCATGGACGCGGGGCAGCTCGTGCCGGACGACCTCATCATCAGCATGAGTGGGGATGGGATGAGATTGTTGAGGAGAATTCTCAGAAAGCTCTCACGAGGTGGTGTGAAGCTGGCTGCAAGGGAAGGGCTGTGTGGTCGGCCAGGTTGCATTGGTTGGGGTAGATGACGGTCGTGTATGTCCCCCACTCTCATAGCGCCCCATAGCTCCCCATCTTCGACTCCATAGCACCCTGTCTCTCCCACTATCATTCAAATCTCGCACTCTCCTCGCCCTGCCTTCGAAATTCACTTTCATTTCTCAGTCTCATCTCACTCCCATCGCCCCCTCTCCCTCTCCTTGACAGATGGTGCAGGCGCGTCTATCCCAGCCGGACGCGCGGACCAAGGGGTGGCTGCTGGACGGCTTTCCTCGCTCGCCCGCACAGGCACAGGCGCTCATGGATGCTGGGGTGGTGCCAGACGTCTTCCTGCTGCTGCAGGTGCGTTGGGGCTGTGTGCTTACTATTTATTCCTGAGTATGGCCGAATTCTGAGGCGACTCACAAGGCACAGGGGCTTATGGACGAAAGGGGTGGTTCTGGACGTCACTGCAGGAGCGCCGTGCGTGAATCCAGTGTGTGCGCCCAGGGTGGTGGGATGGTGATCGACGTCATTCATATAACTGAAAGTGTTTTGCTTTGGTGGCATTGCCTCCCTACTGCCGTGTGTCTCCACAGGTGCCGGACAGCATTCTGGTGGAGAGGGTGGTGGGGCGCAGGCTGGACCCGCACACCAACCGCATCTACCACCTCACCTTCTCCCCTCCCGAGAGCGAGGAGGTTCGAGCGCGGCTCATCCAGCGGTCTGACGACACGGAGGAGAAGGTACAAGGTAGCATTGCTTGCTTGCACAGCACCTACTCAACACTCACTCACACCTTTCTCCACCTTTTCAAATACCTTCACACGCCTTCCTGCCTCTCACGCTCGCTTTGTTGCCTAACGTCTTTGCACCTCTTGTTTTTCACCGCCCCCTTCCTCTCACTACACAGGCGCTAGCGCGGGTGGAGGTATACAAGCAGCACGTGACGCATGTGGTGAATGCATACAGGGAGAAATTGGTGGAGGTACGTCTGTGTGTCAGCTGGGGGGAGGGAAAATGGATGGAGGAGGGTGGGTTGTCATGAGTGGGTGAAATGGAACGTGTTGGGCTGGATCAACCCTTCCTCCCAAATCCTCTTCATCCTGCCCATATTCTCTTCATCCTACCCATATTCTCTTCATCCTGCCCATATTCTCTTCATCCTGCCCATATTCTCTTCATCCTGCCCATATTCTCTTCATCCTGCCCATATTCTCTTCCTCTCGTACCCCTGTCTCCCAAATCCATTTCACCCTGTCATCTCCCCTCTACCCCCTTTCCCCTGCCCCTCTTCCCTCTACCCTCTTCCTCTTTCCCACTTCCCCTACCCTCGTCGCCCTTTCCTCATCGAATGCAGGTGAACGGGCATCGAGGCAAGCACGAGGTGTTTGCTGACATCAGCAGCGCTCTGGACAAGGCCAGGGCAAACAAGGTGGGGTCACCAACGAAGCATCCTCGTGCCTCTCCCCACAGTCCACAAAACCGTTCTCACCCTCTGTCTGCCGCTCCTCTGGCCAATCAGGGACCACCTTTTCCCTTTTTTCCCACCCTGTTGCACCCGTCCCTTGTTACTCATTCCACCTGCGCTCCTCCCTTGCCTCTCTCCCGCCTCTGGTTGAACGTTGTGTGTCCCCTCCCCCCGTGCCCCCGTGCACTTGTGCGCCTGTGCATGCAGCAGGAGGGGGCACCAGCAGCAGCGGAAGAGGGCACGTGGAGGGGCATGCCAACGCGGCTGAACGACATCCCTCACAGCCGGGAGATTCGGCAGTACTTTTATGATGACGCCTGCTCCGCTGCCGTCAACGCCGTCGCAGCCGGGAAACAGCGCATCAAGGTAAGTGGCTAGTGCATGGGCTTTGAGGTGCCTCACAGGTGGGATATTCGGCAGTACTTCTATGACGATGCCTGTCCTGCTGCTGTTAACGCCGTGGCTGCTGGGAAACAGAGGATCAAGGCGGGGCGGGGGGGCAGTGCATGGCATGGCTGGCATCTGGCATTGTTGAGTCGACTCAAAAGTCAACTTTGCATGGCATGGCTGGCATCTGGATTTTCTCTTGGTATAACATGTGGTGGCCTTAGTTTGATGGCAATACAACTGGCAGAGATAGAATAGTGCATGAGAATGCTACTGTGATGATTTACTGGTTACCAACCCCATTCCATCCCCCTGTGCTCTTGCCCTGTCATCCTGCGTGTGCCATGGACGGGGATGTGGTGTGTGGCTCGTTGTATGCCTGAATGGCCATACCATGGTGTGGGATGCGGGTGTGTGCTTATGATGATGGGGTGCATATGAGGGTGGGAGGTGTGTGCGGTGTGTGAGTGTACAATGTGTGTGTGTGCGGTGTGTGTGCGGTGTGTGTGCATGTGTGTTCTCGCGCACCCATCAGCTGGAGTGTCTAATCCCAGAGCTCAACCCCCAAATGGTCAGCGCTTCTCTCAACCCTTGCACTGCCAATCGTCCCTTACTTCTCAACCCTTTCTTTACATTCCCATCCCATACGTCGTGTGCCATACGTAATGCGTTTCACCAGATTTTCTCCCTTCCAATCCCTCTCCCCCGTCTCATTATTTCCAAGCCCTCACCCTCCATCCCCTCCTCTTTTCTCGCCCCATTTCTGGCCTCTACTTCTCTCAACCCCTCCTTCCCCCGCACCGTTCTCCACTCCAACCTACTCACCCCACACTCCCTGCACTGCATCGCACACTGTAGCCCAGTCGATCACTCACTCTGCCGCTCCCACCCCATGTACCACTCACCGCTCCCACCCCATGTGCCACTCACCGCTCCCACCCCATGTGCCACTCACCGCTCCCACCCCATGTGCCACTCACCGCTCCCACCCCATGTGCCACTCACCGCTCCCACCCCATGTGCCACTCACCGCTCCCACCCCATGTGCCACTCACCGCTCCCACCCCATGTGCCACTCACCGCTCCCACCCCATGTGCCACTCACCGCTCCCACCCCATGTGCCACTCACCGCTCCCACCCCATGTGCCACTCACCGCTCCCACCCCATGTGCCACTCACCGCTCCCACCCCATGTGCCACTCACCGCTCCCACCCCATGTGCCACTCACCACTCCCACCCCATGTGCCACTCACCGCTCCCACCCCATGTGCCACTCACCGCTCCCACCCCATGTGCCACTCACCGCTCCCACCCCATGTGCCACGCCACTCAGCAGAACATGTACCACACTGACTGTTCAGTTCAGTTTTCTTTAATGCCCCTCTGCCCCTTGCCCCCCTTCTTGTCTCACTCTACCCTCTGCCACCCTGCGTGTGTGTTATTCAATGCCCCCGCCTGTCCTTCCCCGTGCGGTGCCCTGCCTGCCTGCGTGCCTATTGTGTCCTGCCTGCCAATCAGGACGTGTACCGCATTGGCACGCTGCTGGAGCTCATGAGGGAGCTGGCGTTCACCTTTGCACGCAAGGGCAAGCGCGTTAAGGTGAGGGCAGTCAAGCGACGGGTGATGTGATGTGATGGGGGTGATGTGATGTGATGGGGGTGATGGGGGTGGTGGGGGTGGTGGGGGTGGTGGGGGTGGTGGGGAGGTGAGGGGCGTGAAGGGAGGAGGGGTGAGGCTGAAGGGGGAGCGGAAGGGTGGAGGTCATGAGGGAGCTGGCATGCGCCTTTGCACGCACGGGCAAGCGCATCAAGGTGGGGGCAGTCAAGGGACGAGGTGTGCGGTTGAAGGGGGAGTGGATGTGAAGGGGGGCGTTCTGCAGATCAAAGGGGGAATAAAGGGTGGAGAGTGGGAAGGGAATGCAGGCGTGATGGTGAGGAGAGAAGGGCAGTGAGTGAAACGTCTGTCTACGCTTACCTTCTCCTTGGCGCCACCTCACTTCATTTTTCCTCACTGCCTATTCCTCCAATCCGGCCTTCCTCATCCACGTTCCTCCTGCATGAGGCAAGGCGCTGTGCAATGCTCACCTCCCTCTCGCCTCTCTAACTGCCTGTAGCCCTCACTATCCCCACTCCATGCCTCACATGCCCCTGCCCCTGCCCCTCTGCCTGCCACCGCACGTGCCCATTCCATGCCTGTCTATGCCCTTGATGCTGTCCCCTTCCCTCTCTCCCTCCCTTCCCTCCTTGCCAACCCCACCAGGTGTGTGTGCAGGGCAGCATGGGGTCGGGCATATTCACGAACATGCCTCACACTCCCCTCTGCCTGCCTCTGCATATGCCCCTGCTCCTTTTGCCCTCCCCCCTGCTCACTCCATCCAGGTGTGTGTGCAGGGCAGCATGGGGTCGGGCATATTCGCGGGCATGCCGTTGCAGCTGGCGGGCACGCGCAGGCTGTTGGAAGCCATGGACTGGGGAGAGCAGCTCAACGACAAGATTGTCCTCGGCTCTGTTGGTGAGCTCAAGGCAGGTGACTGGGTAGGTGGGTGCATTAAGGGTTGGTGGGGAGGTACAAGGGTGGGTGGCACGCGCAGGCTGCTCGTGTTTTCTGAGAATTCTCAAAAAACACGGGCCATGGGTGGCACGCGCAGGCTGCTGTGGGCCATGGGTGGCACGCGCAGGCTGCTGTGGGCCATGGGTGGGGGGCGAGCTCAACGAGAGAATCATACTCGGCTCTGTGGGTGCGTTGGGGGTGGGAGCCAATCAGTGTGGATGGCTGCGTGGGAGCATTGAGAGTGCATTCCTCCATGTGCATTCATGACCCGTGTCCGCTGATGCTCCGTGTGCTCATATTCTTGTTCTGCTCACATGCTCCTTGCTGTGCTCACATGCTCCTTGCTGTGCCCACATGCTCCTTGCTGTGCCCACGTGCTCCTTGCTGTGCCCACGTGCTCCTTGCTGTGCCCACGTGCTCCTTGCTGTGCCCACGTGCTCCTTGCTGTGCCCACGTGCTCCTTGCTGTGCCCACATGCCCCTTGTGCGCATCATGCACCAATCAGGAGCTGCTGAGGTGGCGCCAGAGGATGACGTGGTGGTCATCATGGCTCCTCAGAATGCGGTCGGAAACTGCATCCTGGATGTGAGTCGCGTCACTGCTGATATGAGTGACAGCAGCTCTATTGAAAACACCATCAGTCGCCTCGGTTGAAGCACTTCCATGCAGCCACACCCCTCGCCACTCCCCCATTCACTCACCACCACACGCCTTCCCATGTGCGTCCATCCCATGTGCGCCCATCCCATGTGCGCCCATCCCATGTGCGCCCATCCCGTGCGCCCTACGTTCAGGATCTGCAAGCCATGGTGGAGGCAGCAGCACCGCGGCCTGTCATCATCCTCAACCCGCGCCTCAAGGTCACACATCCTGCCATTCTGCCATGCACTGCTGACCCCTGCTGCCTCCTGCTGCCAGGCAGCCTGCTCTTGTGCCTTGCTCACAGGCTGCCTGGCTGCCCTGCTGTCCCAGATATCCTTGCTTGCATCCTTCCCCACATCACTTCCCCCCTCACGCCCTCCCACCCTCCCTGCCTTGTGCGGCCGCCCGCCCTCCCTCCCATACACCCCATCAGGACCTACCGAGTGCAGCGGGGGTTATGCAGGTGGCGGGGCGGGCGGAGCGGGTGGCATTCACCGACACATTCGAGCTCTGCTACCTCATGCGCCTGCTGTACCTCTCGGGCACGCAGTACCCGATCCTCGGTGCTCTCAGGTGAAGTAAAGCCCGCCTGTGCTCTCAGGTGAAGTAAAGCCCGCCTGTGCTCTCAGGTGAAGTAAAGCCCGCCTGTGCTCTCAGGTGAAGTAAAGCCCGCCTGTGAGACAGCACACACTGCCCTAGTCATCGCTCTTGGAGCCCTCACGTGTGAAGCCCACCTTCGAGCTCTGCTACCTCATGCGCCTGCTCTACCTCTCGGGCACACAGTATCCCATCCTCGGCGCCCTCAGGTGGGTGGGAAGAGTGCCGTTGAGTCCTTGTGTGTGACGCCCACCCGTGAGACTGACACGTGGTACCCCACTGTCATCACCCTCTTAGCCCTCACGTGTGAAGCCCACCTTCGAGCTCTGCTACCCCATGCGCCTGCTCCACCTCTCGGGCACACAGTATCCCATCCCAGCACCCACACAGTATCCCATCCCAGCACCCACACAGTACCCCATCCTCAGTTCAGCCTCACTGCCCGCTCACTTGCTCCTGCGACTGTCTCCCTTTGAGGTGTACAAGCGCGTGGACGTGTTATTTGGTGTGGAGTGCCGTGACCTCATAGCCTTTTATGAACAACCACATTAGAAGCAATCTTGTATCACACCCCGCCACCTTCTCCTGCCCCCCCAGAATGCGCTACCCGGACCCCTATGAGGTGTACAAGCGAGTGGACGTGTCGTTTGGAGTGGAGCGATACGACCTCATGGCCTCGCTGCCCTCCCTGCCCACCTCCGCTGACATCAGCGACGCCTTCGCTGGCAAGACGTGAGCAGGGCGATGGGAGATTGGGGGGGTGGGGGGTGAGGAAAAGAAGATGGGGGGATGGGGAGGAGGAAGGGAGGAGATGAGGAAATGCGGGGTGGGGAAGAGCTGGAAGGATGCATGCTCATGCTTATACGTGTGATGATATCCATGCATGGCCCTGCACACTTGTGCATGAATACTCTCCTCTGCCCACTTACATGCGGCTGCCTGTGCTTTTATGACCTTGTCTCGTCATTCGTATGTCTCTCCATGGCTGTGTGCATTGTGTGATGCATTGCTCCATGCTGCATGGCACATGTTGCATCGCACATTGCTCATGGTGCATGCTGCGTGGCACATGGCATGTGGTGCATGGTGGATGGCAGGCCAAGATCACAGGCACAACCGGAAGGCATCTGGTGAGCAGCCCTCTCTTTCACTGCACATCCATGCACATGCACGCCCTCACATCCTCGCTCTTAGGTCATTCACACTGCTCACTTGCCCCTCCACTACTCTCCATCCTCTCTCCCCTCTCTCGCTTGTGCCACACCTGTGTTCTCTTTTCTGCCCTCACTGTTCATTCCCTCCATATTGTCACATCTGTGTTCAATCACCACCAGGGGCTGGCTCTCCAAGGTCTTCTGATTCCAGACACAGCTGCACTGCTCTAGTTCTTCAGCAACAGTCGCATTTCTGGAACCTCCGACTATGTATTTATTTCATCACCTCTCCAATGGATACCATAAGCTCTATTCAAACAGAACAAAACTCATACTGCTACAAGGGATTGAGCTTTGAATCACACATCCATTCGCAGCTGACTGTATGCGATCCTCCACACTACAGCCACCCATTCAGGTGAGTGCCAGCGGTACCAGAGTGGGTTACAATGACTCCTGCTGAGCCACTGTGTCTCGTCCACCCACATTAGTCATCACAGCCCCTCAGAATGATTCTCCCTTCAGAACCTCCTCTTCGGAGAAGGGAGTGTCTAACAGGTGTCTAGAGTCTGCCATTTCAATGTCTCGTGAGATATCCACCTTGCGTTCCCTCCCAACAACGGAGTACACCTCTTCCGAAGGGTCTTGGAAGGCTTGGCTGGCAAGGATAGTGGCGATCAATGTGCTCACCACAACAGCTGCACTCCACCATGTGAACTGCAGAGTGGCGAGTGCTTTCGCCCTGCTGTGCCACACTTCGCTTTCGCACGTAACTGTGTTGGTAACCGCATTGCGCACGCAGTGAAGGGGCACCAGCGACGGCACCCAGATGCACAGGGCGATTTGAATAAACACTCCGCCTTGCAGTTGAAAGCTCATAGCGCGTACAAGAGAGAGCATGAAGGATGTGGGGTGTGAGATCTCAATCGCTGCACAAACAGCCCCGATGCCAATCGGGATTCTCAACAGCATGTGGTAATGACCCTCCAAGCCCATGTGGTCCGCTGAGTGGAAGTGGAAGAGCAGAAACTCCTGTGCAAGCGCTGAGGCGCCCACGAGATGTGGCAGGTGCGGTGGGAGGCCCGGTAGGAGGTCGCAGATCAGGCAGGTGAGGCCGTAGAGGAGGAAGAAGAGGGAAATGGCGGCGTGCTCCAAGTTATTGAATGCGTCCAGCAGGATCACGTGGTGCTTGTCCAGAGGGGAGAAATGCGGCTGCGTCAGCACGAGCTCCCTGTGCACCCGAATTTACATCACAGCAAATTTACCGTACTACAACAAAAAAATGAAAAACCCAAAAGAAAATCAAATCAGGTTGGATGTTGTGAAACGCATGCAACTGACATGAGTATTGATGCTGTAGCTCCAAGTGCAATGAAGATTAACTCCATGTAGCGCCAGACGCCTGTGGTGGCGGTAGGGAACCATGCGTGAGACTGGAAGCTGCCAGGGTGCATGAAGAAGGCTCGCACGACGTTGAACTGCTGCCATGAGCCGAATAGGATGAAGGCGGCTCCGGGAAGCAAATGGCCCTCGAAAGTTCCCATGCTGGACCACTAATCCTGAGAAGACAAGCCGCGCAACAGATTTAAACTCTTTTAGGTAGTACTAGCTCGACGTAAATGATGTACCTACTACGATTGACAGCAGACAGTGGAGACGTGACAATGGATGTGCAAACAGCGTGATAGAATCAGATGCCGAATGTGAACCGCGGCGAAAGGTGAAAGCCTCGTGGGACTCGCGAAGGTGGAGAGTTCAGGTGGGTGAGCAGAGATGGGCTCATGCACTTATGCGGGATGAGGGTGCGGGGTGGCAAAAGGCGTAGATGATGGCGTCCGAACCTCGTTCTTGCCAAAAAGGCACAGCGTCGTGATGTTGGCGGCAGCATTTGGGTGGTGGAGAGGAGATGTCAAATGCACATTGGAGATGCGCGTCGCGATTTCTACGTGCATGCTAGGGCTTGATCACAAATCTCAGGGGTTGGGATTGCGTTTCGCTTGTGTTTACCAATGCTGGAATGTGATTGTGTTCAACAAGGCTACAGTGCTGATGATAAAAGCGAAATCGTCGTGATTGTTATACTGTAGCAAATGTGCACATTCCTTTTATTTTTTTGGATATAAGTACACTGCCAGCATGCATACATCCGCAGTCGTAACTATTGCTAGGAGGGCATGGAGAGGCTACAAGTACCCAAGTAACCAGAGCACCCCATATCCTTTTACGGAGGCTGGAATGCTACACCACCATCTTCCCAGATCGCCTTAAAACCCGCTCTCCACGTCATCGAGGCCTCTATCTCATAGAGCCTGCGCATAGCGCCTGCTTCATCAGCTTTCAGGTGGCTCCAGTCGTTCGTCCTTTTCGAAGCATTCCTGCCAGCCATTTCCTTCCGCGCTCTGCTGTAGATCTTCACGTGCCTCGTAAAGCCAACTGCTATGCGCGTCAAAGCTCTCTTTGGTTGGAACCGGCTACCTCGGAAAACCGCGTTACACTTCTCCAGCCAAACTTGGTGCGCTGTAATGGATATGATTGCCGCCTCAGGGAAACCAGTCGACGTGCCACTCCTTTGGAAGAGCATGTCCCCGAGAGATCGCATGTCCCTGCCCGGGTTCATACATTGAACCGCTTTCCTCATCACCTCCACCACATGTTGGATCGCCGGGCAGCTGAAAAGGCAGTGATCCTGCGATTCCACTCCACCACAGTGCGTGCATTTCGCCCTCGCGCCCAAGAAGGGGAGCCGTTCTCCTACTAGGAGGTTGTGGCTGTGCACCCTCAGTATCACTTCCCGTGCCCTGCATGGGGTTGCCAGTGAGTCACGGACCGTGATAGCCTTCCCCCTGTTAACAGGAATGGAGTGTTTGCCCCGCCCTCGCTTGGGCAACGCCGATGACTTGGTCGGATGCACGGGAGTAGCAGCCGACCGTTCACAGTGGGATAGCTGCTCGGCAGGTTACGTCGAGCTGCAGCGGACCACTGTGGTGTTACTGTCGACCATGGAGCTCGACAGCTGCAACTGACTGGTTTGTGCGACGGGTGGGCCGTCCGGGAGGTCGATGAAGCAGTCCGTCGACCTACAGTTCGACCGGGAGGTCGACATAGCAGTTCTGGTCGACGGAAGGGGTCGACCAGAGCACCAGGGGTCGACCAGGTCGACCGGGTAACCTGCTCGACGAGTTCTGCGAAGGCTCGCGAACGTCGTCAAGATCGCGATGGCGCAGGCGACTTCGGACTGGTATCCCGAAGTCGATGTGGCTCGTCAGGCGCAGACAACAGCCGACGGATGCCCAACGAGGCAAGTCGGGCCAATCGTCTGCGCACACCTGCGAGCGCGCGCACTGCTGTGTTCTACGGGGCACGCCGTCGACCTGCTTTGTTGGCAGGTCGCCCTTCTGCAGTGCTGGCGCGGCTCCTCTACGCAATGCTGGCAGGCGGTCGACCGAGCTGCGCTGGCGGTCGACCAGGCTAGCTGCAGGGTTGCTAGGTGCCTGATGTAGTCATTGTTGTCATTGCTTCTTTGATTATTCTGGATTCTTAACTTTGCTAGTGAAAACTCTTGCCAATTTCTCTCGTGAATGTGCAAGCACTAAGGAACCAAGCAAAGCTACGATCACCTTTAGTAGTTCGTGCCAACCCTGTAGTCTAGCTCACAACCGTTGTAGAGTGTATCTCCGCATGGTGCGGTGAGCGTGGATCGAACATGCGACCTTCAGACAGGAGCCGACTTCTGCACCTACTGAGTCGTTCGTAGGCCGGCAGCAGCGATAGTCGCCATGCTCGACCCCGTGGTTGATGCGGGTGTAACTGACACCTTGGAGGCACGTTTGGCTGACGCGAGGAGACGCCACGCGGATGGCGAGTACGGGACGATCCCCTTGGTGATCGCCGAGTTGGGCATCCGGTCGCAGTGGGCGACGGAACACCCTTCCCGTCCTACTTCTCCTCGACCGGTGCGCAACGAAGGTGGCGTCGACGACAAGGTCGACGGTGGTGCACGAGTCAGCGGCAGCGAAGGCACGAGGCAGAGAGGAGTGATCAAGGTCGACGGTGGTGTCGACGGAATCCAGGCGCGAGTGCAGCGGTCGACGGCTGCTGCAGGGAGCTCGCGTGCCGACGTCGATGTTCGATGCCGTTCTCCTCCACGAAGTGGTGGAGGGCTCTCGGTGACAACACACGTGACAGCGGGCGGGATTGCACCGGCGTATGGCTACTTCAAGTTCTCGCCGGACCGGATCGCCGTCGCTCCGCTGCAAGGTCGACGGGACCTCATCACCTGGAGGGAGTCGATCGAACCTCAGCTGGAGGTCACCGTGCTGAAGGGCTTCGCCGACGGCACCGTGCCAATTCCGCCCGAGGAGGATGTCGGGCTGCGCGGGGAGTTTCGTTCTGCTCACCTGCTCACCTTTATGGTCATCTCGAGGTGCTGCTCGCCAGTGGTGCAGCTAGCACTGAGGAGCTGTCGAGAGCGACTGGATGCTGCTCACCAGGCATGGCGCTTCATCATGTCGACGTACCAGGTCAGGGACGACCTGTACATCGGGCAGCTGGAGGAGAAGATGACTCACATTTGGATGGACGAGCAGGAGTCAGCGACGGATTACTGCAACCGTGCTCGACGGATCCTGGCTGAAATGCGAATGGCGGGCGCCGAATACTCGACGGCGTCCTACATCACCCACATCGTCAAGGGCTTGCCGCGCAGCTACAATCTCATGAAGAGGATGATGATGGTGCCCGGCACGCGTGAGTCCCTCGACGAGGACTCCATTACCAGCTACATTCTCCAGGATGAGGCGATGCAGGAGGCAGAGCAGCCCACGGAGTTCCTTCCGCAGGCGAGTTACGCTGCACCGACGAAGCCGAATTATCAGCAGGTGGTAGCGGAGGTGGGCGGTCAACGAAGGACGTCGACGAGAAGAGGTCGACGCGGGACAAGGGTCGACGAGGTGGTGGTCGACGGCGGGAGTGCTGGATCTGCGGCGACCCTGACCATCTCTCCTTCGAGTGCCCCGACCGCGATGACAGTGACGAGGACGACAACAAGGGAGGCCGCGGACGATCGGCCAGTCGTCGCCCCCGTCGAGTAGAGAAGCCGCGCAAGGAGAAGCAAGCGTCGAAGAAGACGTCGTCGACGAAAGACGTCGACAGCTCCAGCACCAAGAGCCGAGGCGACAGGGAGGCGTCGTGCTCGATGGTCGGCGT